TCTTTTATTCAGTCAGATATAACAGAATCCACTATTTAAAGAGTGAAGACAGTTAAGATTCCACATTCCATTTCATGTTTTCCTGGACCACAGACCAGTTTGAAAGCTATTCAAACCCAGTTACTCAGTAGCCTTATTCAGTTTTGGAAAACACGGTACTAAGTCTGTTTCTAAAACTGAATACTCTCAAGGATGGAAAAGTTTAGCTAAAGATACACAGAAGTAGAAAAGACAGTTCTTAACAAACTAATAATGACTACCCTATTTAGAAACCCAAGCTCCTTGTCTATTTAACCTCCCAGCTCCAAATATGAATTAGGCACAGGTTGTACTATTCTTTTTGTTAGGCTTACATAAAGTTCACTTTGTAACTGCAATCAAGATGAAATAAAATATTTGACAAACAGGAAGTATTTGTAAAGAAAATATTCGACTCCTTCCCAAACCAAGCCATGAAATGTCATAAGAACTTGCACTATTGGTGTAAGCAAGGAAAACAAGGAAACTCAGGATTTCTCTGTGTTAAAGGCCAAAGGGCTTCCCCTCTCTGGAAGTTAACAGTGACAATAAACTCTACTCTCATTTGAATCAATAGTATTTCTTATTACAAGATATTCATTGTTATCTTACTTTAAAAGTATGCAAGTATGCTGTTTATTTTGACAGTACTTTTAAAGATTTATTTCTCAGATTTAACTTACACCACCCCTAGTTTCAGGCTTCTACTCATGATCCCTTCTGAATGTTAAGGTTTGTCACTATGCTTATATTCTTATACTGGTTAACAGAACAGGTACCATAAAATATATGCCATTCTGTCTTGTATAACGTGTCAATAAGATGCAATTAGATAATCTGGATGCTATTTATACTGATTTACAAGCAGTTCCTTGAAATGCAGATGAATATAATTTAATGAGACAACACACGAATCACATTTTTCAAATAATTCATTTTTAGAGTTTCTCTATGTTTTAAATCTCAGGTCAAAGCAATCTGTAGGTCTCCGTCTTTTCTCAATGTCCTTATGACACAGATGGAAGTCCCTGCTACATAAATAAGTGGCAGATCATCCCTGGTATAAAAATAATTATGATGGTACAATGATATCTAGGAGAGAAAACCACAAAATGCTGATGTTCGTCACATCATTTTTGGTCAATTTCATTTACTTGACTTATGAAATGTGGAAATTTATTTTATTTTTGACAGCCTACCAACAAGTTTTAAAAGTACTGAAAATGCTTGTTTTATATAATGCCTTTACTTTCAAAAAAATTATCTGCTGTCATGGTTTAACCCGGCCGGCAGCTAAACACCACGCAGCTGTTCGCTCACCCTGCCCCTCCCTCTCTGGGATGGGGGAGAGAAATGGAAAGTGAAGCCCATGAGTTGAGATAAAGACAGTTTAATAAGACAGGAAAATAATAATAATAATAACAATAATAACAATAACAATAATAATAATAATACAATGGTGATAATAGTACCACTACTAATAATGTGTACAAACAAGTGATGCACAATGCAATTGCTCACCACTCGCTGACCGATGCCCAGCCTAACCCCGAGCAGTCCAGCCCCCTCCCCCAGCTAGCCACCCCTATCTATTGTTTAGCATGACCCCAGATGGGATGGAATACCCCTTTGGCTAGTTTGGGTCACCTGTCCTGGGTCTGTCCCCTCCCAGCTCTTACTGCACCCCCAGCCTGCCCGTTGGCAGGACAGAGCAAAAGGCTGAGATGTCCTTGGCTTAGTATAAGCACTGCTCTGCAACAATTAAAACATCGGGGTGTTATCAGCACTCTTCTCATCCTAAGCCAAAACACAGCATTCCACCAGCTACTAGGAAGAAAATTCTGTTCTAACTGAAACCAGGACATCTGCTTATGTTACTTTTTGTCCAATTCTATTTCAGCAAGTTTTTAACAGCTGTTATCACAAGGAGGCAAGAGTTGAACATGTGACTTCAGTCAAATATGATATTTCATATGAAATAGTAATAAAATATTAGTTTCTAGTGCTGGTGTTTCTGGAAACAAAAGCCAGCACAGACTATCAAATCACTCCATCATGCAAAATGCTGACAGAAACCAAGAGTAGCCCTTAGAAATCAAGAAAAAGTGTTTCTAATCACTCTGTGTGCTAGATTCTGCTCAGCATGGCCACTGTAGAGACTCACCAAAGTCTTTGCTGACCTTTATTTCATAAATACTAGCACTACATTGTGATTTCCTTGTTTTAAAAAATAAGCAGACTCCTTTCCCCACAACTGAAAGTCCTGCACTAAAAATGGAAACTACAAGGAAAGGCATCTCAGCTGACAAATGAACTGCACACTCCAGTAGGAAATGAAACGTTAAATTATGCCAAAACATAAACACATGTATTAGACTTGAAGAAAAAATAACACATTGCATAAATTGTGAGGTGCATTTGTGTTGTTTGCATTAAGAATAAAACTCAGTACAGCTATTATAGACTAACATGAACAAGCAACAAGGAATCTCATAGATGATCTTTACAGATCCCTTCCAACTCAAAACATTCTGATTCTATTAAGTAGAGGCTGAGGGAACTGGGGAACTGGGGAGAAGAGAAGGCTCCAGGGAGACATTATAGAGGCTTTCCAGTGCCTAAAGGGGGCTACGGGAAAGCTGGGGAGGGACTCTTTGTCAGGGGTTTTAGGGATAGGACAAGGGGTAAGAGCTTTAAACTGAGAAAGGGGAGATTTAGATTAGATATTAGGAAGAAATTCTCTGCTCTGAGGGTGGTAATGCACTGGAACAGGCAGCCCAGAGGAGCTGTGGGTCCTCTATCCCTGAGGTGTTCAAGGCCAGGCTGGAGGGGGGCCTTATCCAACCTGGTCTGGTGGGAGGTGTCCCCCCATGGGAGGGGTTGGAACTAGGTGCACTGTAAGGTCCCTTCCAACCCAAACCATTCTGGGATTCTGTGATGAATCTGAAATTCACTCCGGAACCAAGCAAATTAATGCACTTTATGCCAGTGGCATCTGCTTTTGTCTACTATGCTCTCAATCTCTGAGCAAGCATCTCACCTTTTGTAGTTGAAGCACCGTTAATTACTGAAATGCTAAGTTTTGAGTTTGTTATTTCTTGCTCATGGGCCATCAAAATAATTCCACAGACAGACATTGGAAAATGTAGCTTGATCCAATTAACTGCCCCTCTGAGGAATACCAGAGAACAGGAGACAGAGATGGAGTCCAACAGAATCGTGACACATTCCGAACCACGAGCATTTGGCTGAGTAACATGCTAAAGCTGTACATTTAGGAAGGGCGGCTTTCCCCCTAGTTCTAACTAACTAGGAGTAGTACTTCTACAAAACCTGGAGCCTGAATTTTGATCTTCTAATTGGGTATTCTGTAATTTGTGTAAGCTATCAATGGTAGCTATGCTGTATCAGCTCTGTGGTATTGTAAACTGACAGTCAATTTAGGATAAACCTCTTAAGGACTGTTTTAATCTTGCGTGATAATGATTGATAACAATTAAGAACTACATGTATTGTTTATCAATGTCAAAATAGTGAAGCGTGAAACTTGCCTGATTCATTGGCCTTCTATACTACCTACACAGAAATCTCTAGTTCCCCAAATCATGAATATATGCACACAAATATTCAGCTGCAACTGTTATTCTCTAGTGAGCATAGTTCAATTCCTAGTTCAGCTACATACTTCACATATAGTACAGGAGTTAGGTTAATTATGTATTCCTATTCTTTAGATTTGATTAAAACAGGAACAGTCTTTTCCTCCTCTCCCTTTCCTTTGTCCTGTTTGGGTTTTGAGGTCTTCATCTGAAGGACTGTCTTTCACTATGCCTAGCATCAATCAGAAATGAGGGTGTATCTAAGGCGGGTAGTTAGTATGCCCATCAAAAAAGAAAACTATAACGCTAACCTAACTTTTTGATAGTTCAAGTACAGGCTTCTGCAACTGCAGAGCCACACATTTCATGTCTTATACAGGAGTAGCTCACTGCTGTGTCTTCTACCTCCCTCTAAGATTGCCCTATGCACATATTTTCAATCTTCCTCTATTTCAGGGTGGGTGTCAGGGTGGTTGTTTCTGACTCACATTCTCTCCTCTAGCCTACACCAGGGTTTTGCACCCTTCTCTCAGTTACAAGCTCTATGTGCTTCTTTATAGGAGCACCTCCTTTACCAGCGTCCCCACTCAGTGTTCCACAGCACCCTCTGATCTCATGGCAGTCTTTACTCTGAAAGTCTGCAAACAAATCTCTGTAACCTCCTTTCCCTCAGTCACTCTGCTCTCTAACCCCTTTTGTTCTGGGAGATGAATCACTCTGAATGCTAATATGCTTCACTACACTGTGAAGATAGGTGAAGATGAGAGACGGGCCTTTCTATACTGGCATGGTTTAACTGTTCAAACATTGCATTTTTAGCCACGAAGCTGTTTGAAAGATATGAAGCTATGGTTGTGCTAAATAACAGCAAAGGCTTTTATGTGTCACCTGTTTTCCTTTCAGTTCTCTAATTTCCTATTAAATCGGTAAGACTCTACACTGAATACTGGCCCAAAACTGAATTTTTCACAAAGTTCTCACACTGGAAAACGGAAAGTAAACCACACAGAAATGAGAGCAACCTTGAAATTTGACTATCAGATGTTTTATTTTTGCACTGATTTGCCTGCTCAAAAATTGAAAGTTTACCTATACAACCTAGAGATAAAACAAAGGATTGAAATTAAATAATACATTGTATATTCACTAGACACTAAAAGATGCATACAGTGTGCAGCTAATGTATCTTCAGCAATTAAAAATTCAACTATATGAATATTGCAATAATTTAAGTTTTTAAATTATTTATCTCAAAGTGGCAGAAAAGATCGCTATTTAAAAATAACATGCATGATGCAAGTCATGAAAAATTGATATGAAACAGCAGTCTTTAAGACTTGAGCTTGCTTTATGCAAAACTACAAATGATAATAAAATTCCTACCAAAATTCCAGGGACCAGAAAATAAATCTTATGACGTGTTCTATCAATTCTTAGTCCTCAGTTTTCTCCCCTCTGAAGTATATCAGCAAACAGTATGAACTCAAAGGAAGGATAGTGTCTTGTTGCCTAAATCACAAAGGAAAAAATTAATTTCTCTCTGGTACCACCCCCTTTTTCTTTCCATTTGCCCCTCTAGTCTCTTTTTCTGCTACGTGCATCTGCCACCCCTCCCTGCCCCAAAATTCCCCAAAGAAAACAAGTGCTGAATGGCTTTGTGTTAAGTCAGAAAAATCATCTATAACTGCATTTAACTGTATTTGCTGCTTAACATATCCAAACAGTGAACCTAACATTTAGAATCTATCGTATCAACATAGTCATCATGATCCAAGCTGCAAATAATAGAGAGTGTCACTGTCAATTTTGCTTTCTCACACTTCCTTCCCTCCACTTCATCTGATTTTAATAATCCCTGTCAAACCACAAACAGTCCAAATTACCTTCTTGACATAGAAGCTTTCAAGGAAGAGACAGAATCTCAACTTTCATTTAGCGACTACAAAAGCAAGCTGTCCGACTGGACAAATATTATTTCCACTCTTGACAATCTCTACAGTAAAGCATGCTTTTTAATTTTCGCTGAAGCTGCCAAGGGTTTCATATAAGCTTCTTGTTTAGCGTAGATTGACTCACAGGATTAGCAAACCTACAACTGTAATTGTGTTTAAAGAAGCTAGCACTTTCAACTAAAAGAAAAAAAACGCTTGCAAAAAGTGACAATTGCATGTCATAAGCTAAAAATAAACTGCATTTAAAAATAATATAAATATATATACATAAAATATTTCAATTCAGTAGATCTCATATGATCTCTTTCAAGATCATTTTACTTTTCTACCATTGACCAAATGGTTGCTGTTAGACTGTAATAGAAACCAGACTTTCAAGGAAGACAACTTTATATTCAACTACATCAGTGACATTCTAAGAAAGGTTAGCATTTGACAACCGGAAATATGTTCAAGGCAAATAAGCTTCTGCAAAAAGATGTGATCTGTAATCATTTTCCTCTCTGTTGGCTTGTCTTCAAAGTAGAGGTTGATAACATTACTCACTGCTTCACATAGATCAGTTTAAAAGTAATTGATTTTTCAGATGAGGCACAGTATTGTATAATTAGGATTGTACTTGAAGTTTATGTGGATTAATCAAAGCATAATACATTTTAATATATTTTCTTCACATATACACAGCAGTCTCCCTAATCATGTGGAAGTCTATTGCTTCTTTGTATTTTGACTCATTTAAAGTTGCTATCAGGTTTTGAAGTGTTACCAGCTATACTAAACAAAAAACAAAATAACCAAGATGCTTCCATCAGAAGTCTCATGTTAGATATTTGTTTTAATATCTCAAATTGCTTTTCTCATATGCAAGCCTAATTTAAGACTGACAAAAGCGCTTTAAAACATTAGTTGGTAACTAATTGAAATATACCAAGGCAGCAAAAGACCATCTTTGACAAATTGTCTCAAGTTTCACAGCAAGGCAGTTATGCTTTCTACTAACACAGGAGAGTTTTAGCATTAGTAGTTTGAGCTGACAACTGGGTGTCTGTGATTATTCATGTTCATGTTAAGACATCTTCCTCCTTGCCTTCTTATTTTGTTTTCTCTCCCAGTGAAGAACAAGAGTTTTAAAAGCTTATTGCATTTTTCTCCTTTAGGACGGCTAGCAAAAGCACAATTTTGTTACTCAGCAGTAGGGCGATCTACCATGTTAGGTCTGCATCAGATTGGATTGGACCTGCATTATCTTTTATCACAGAAAACGTCACAAGATTGCTATCAAAGCACCTAAAAGGAGGAGAAAAAAAAAAAAAAAAAAAAAGGGTCTTTTTAAATTAAGTGTTTAGTCTTGAATATGTCTTTACTTCTGGTTAACTGCCACTTTGAATTCGGACCAGAACTCATAACTGATTATTAGCTATCTTTCTGCACTGAAGTACAAAAGTATTTATCATTTAGGGTGTATGCACTATCACACACTGGCAGTAAGAGGTAGGAAAGACATCTGTAGAACAGTATGTTAACGTACAAATATTGACTGGTATATTGACCTAGTTAATTGTAATCAAAATTAGCGTACAAAAATAAACCTTACGCCTTACTGACTTGCAGTTCTATAATGAACAAGGAAGCCAGATTTTTATTTTTATTTTTAAAGAAAGGAAATTCTTATGTAATTTAGAAGCCATATAGAACTGATTTTTTTCTCAACTGCTTGATCAGAGGAAACCTTTATCTTCCCAGAGCCTCCTTCCTATCATCTCTTCTAACCAGTTCTGTCTCACTTGATAAATTAAAGTTATCAGCTGTTGCATCTTTATTTCTACAGAGAAAGTGCAAGTCACAGCTGTGATGCTACAAAAGCAACAAAAGTGCAGCAGAAAGTAGCATTTTTAAAGAACATTTATCCATAATGCCTTTGCATTGCCACTGGAGAAGAAATGAAAATAAATAAGTAGTTATAATGAAACGAGCTTCCTTCTCAAGGATTTTATAAATGATGCTCTTATAAGTGATGCCTGAAGTTCCTGATCATAGGGCAACTAAGAGTCTTCGATCTGGTAGCTCATGAAATAAATATCTTGTACTTTGTGGCGAAGTTCAACTGCCTCTATAGTGTTAGTCAGTATATGATAAGGTAATGTCATGTGAGTATGATTCCAGACAATTAACAGAGAACCCTAATAGGTTCTACCATCTCCTCTGTAAAGACATTGCATCAATAATTTCATTTACAAACCTGATGGAGACAATTATGTTGGGAATCATAACAAAATGCATTCACACAGTAGAAAATAAATCTTCCTTTGGAAACAGACTAGATCATATATTATTATACAAAAAGGAAAGACAACTGACTCCTTTGTGATGCAAAAAGGGGTTCCTCCTTCCTATCATCTTAAACAAATACTGTAAGGACATTGCACGAAATTCTCTAGTACAGAAAGCACTTAGCCTTTGGTTTCATGATTAAGAGGGCAAGTGTTCATAAATATCTTACAAGGGAACACCATGCACTGTGTTATTTCTTACATAATTACATGACTCAAATGAGTTGTGTATACAGTGGAGAAGTGGAACTACAGTGTAAACAATGTGCACTACTTACCTATCACATGAAATAAATCTTTTCCTTCAGAACAATAACAGACTAAAAACTAAAAAACTGTTGTTTGTTTGTTTGTTTTTTCTTAAAGGAGCATTATATTTAAAGTCTCTAGAGAGAAACAGAGGGGGAATACACAGACTAAATTAAAAATGAATAATATTTTTTCTAGGGTCACACTAACATTCCAGCAAATTTCTTCTTAACTTTTATAGCATTTTACTACTTTTGTAAATAAGTAAAAATTAAATAAACAACAAGCCATAGAAGGTTCAAGCTGAAAACACTCAAAGTATTATGGTTCTATCTATACGTTTTGTAATTTGACTGCCTAAAACTGAGTGTAGTGACAACTCTACCAGAATAGCCTTCCAAAGTATAAGTTGCAACCAAATCTACTTTTATATGAGTTCAACAGTGAACCTTGGAGAATCAACTCTATTCCATTAATTTGCAAGACAATATGTTTGTTCTGAGCCAGACAAGAACAGGTGGTCCCACTTGAAGATTTTCTTCACTCATGCAAAAAAAAAGTGTGGTGGATGTTACAAGGACAAACAAAGCATCTAGTGATAAAAGTATTTAATTTTATGAAATCTGAGTAACAAAGAAAGAGTTCAGGGATAGAAAAAGGAGAGAGCATTTACTGAAAGAACATTTTTTTCTTAGGCAAGCTGGTAATAAAAGACATTACAATATCCTGACTCATTCCAATTTTTGGAGCCGAATGCTATTCAGAAACTTTAAGTTTGTTCCAAACAGGAAAATCAAAAATCTCCTGTTTTTCAAATATGTGTCACAGAATGGCATTGAATGAATGATTTCATTTTTAATACCAAGGCAGACTAGAGTCACTTTTTTTCTTCCATTTTTTATCATACTCCAGGGATAAGTTGATAATATGAAAAGTCTGCTGTATTCCCCACCATCCCCTGTATCTGCATAACCTGACATAACTCACATGCTCCCAGTCAAATGGCATGGTAAGACTCAGAAACACTGTATAGCCTACTATTCGTATCACCAATAATCCAATTCTTCACCTGTACTACTAGACAATATAGCTCCCAAAATGACATCTTGGCATGATTACACATTCTTCTTTAAGTTAGAATTTTGCGATGACATGCATTAATGGCAATGCATTCAAAAAGAGCAAAGTTAAATAGTTTGACTTCACAGAGGAAAGAGATTCAGATAACTTGAGAGACAAGTCACCTTTCTTGACCCTTTCCACAGGGTCAAGAGAGGTTATTAGATTTTTCTGTACATTATGGAATAGACTGTGTTCTGTTCCAAACAAAATAAATATCTGGGACTGGTGCACCTAAGGAAATGCTAAAAAATAATAATTTCAAAAGCAATGGTCTCAACTTCTAAAATAGCCATATATTCCTAACTACAAAGAAAAAGATACTTTATTCAGATTTCTTCCAAAATCACACTACCATGCAGCTGAAATTCATACCTATATAATTCTTAAAGAACATCTAGTCATTTTTTATATTTGGCGTAAAGAGAGAAGATTTTATAAAATTGCTGATATGAACAAAGCTTGCCTAGAACTTTTAAAAATCTCTTAAATATAAACGTAGCATCTCTTATGCTTTTTTTCAATCAATAAAAATTCATATATATTCTTGATTAGAACCCATAAGCACTTTCCTTTGAATAGGTCTCATCTCATTATACGGTTAAAGCTTTTTAAGCATTCATAGTTTATAGCAAGTCGATTTCAGAAGATATAAATGTACAATTTACATATACACATACCTTCAGTATGTTCTCTCTGTAACTGAAATCTTCTTTAAGAGACCATGCATAATGTTCAATTAACTGTTTTTTCAATGGTTCTGTGTAAAAAGAAAGTAATAAAATGATAAATAGGTAATATTTGAATAACCACTACTTTTACAAATAAAAATCCTAAGGGCCTAACTACTATGTAAAATTGCTCACTCAACAAGACCATATGCTTAATTCCAACTAATAAATAATAGTCTGAGATCAAAATGTTAAAAAAAGCTAACAACTTTGTAAACCTCCATTTCTATTGATATGTATTACACAAACCACATCAGTAGCATAGTACTATTTCATTTTGTTGTTCCAAAAGCAGAAAAGCAATAAAGAGAAGATCTGTGCCAAATGAGAAACTAGAAAGCCACAGAATGAAACAAAATAACACATGGCAGGTATTAGAAATGTTTAGATAAGGACCACATAGCTCAGTCATTGTTTCTGAACTTCACAGAAAGGCTTCATTGAGAATAATCTATCCTGTGGTCACTGACTCATAGAAAAATCAATTTAGATAACAAATACAAAAAAGATGGAAGTCTGAAGTGAATATTGTATTGTAAGAACTAAAGATTGACTGCTGCTTTTGCTAGTGTTTGTGAATACTAATGCAATGAATGAAATAAGGTAGCTAAAAGCTAGCTCAGCAAAAATACCTTATATTCCTTCTATATCAGCCCCTTACTATCTGCAAACCCCAGTTACCAGGCAGCTATGATGGGTAAAAAGCACAGGGGACTGCAGTGAGATGCTGCCCACTTGGCAGCCATGTGGACCTTATCAACAAAGCTACAATAAGTATCACAGTTGAACATGAAGTTGGTTCACAGACCCTGAGAAATCATCTCCACAGAGGAATAGAAAGGATCGTGTTTACATAGGCATGGCAGAATATAAAGTTCCATTTTGCTTAACAGCAACAAAATGTGAAAACATATGTAGGAAATAAAAGGAAATATCCTGCTCACCTGCTTTTGTTTTACAATATTTCAAGCAATTAAACGAATCTATTTTCAAGGCTTTCAACACATCATTAAATTCTTACTTCAGTACTCTTTTTGTTTATTTGTTTGTTTCAAACTGCTTCTTTAGAAGGAAAGAGATTGGGATCTACTGACACTTGCAGGGGTTTTAGCACAGCACCCCAGCACTATAGTTCCTGTAACCACTTCCCAGGAGTTCTCTTAAAGAATCAGCAAAGAGGAAGGAAGTTCGAAAGAACTGCTCAAAAGTCTGACAATCAGCTAACCCCTATTCTTGGACCAATACTTTCACGTCTGTGTTTTAAACGAACAACAAAGCCAACAAAGCCTGTACTTTCTGCACTGCTTTTATTACTTTTCTGAAAGCAGAGGCTATGCAAAAAAATGTATCAAAAATGACAGCAAGGTTGTAACTCCAGCCCACAAAAGCCAAGAAATATAAAGTTAGTCTGACATTCAATCCTTAAATCATGCAATCGTGCTTCTTTTTTAAAAAGCAACAATGCAAGTTAATGACAAGTTGTCAGCCCTAACTTTGAATTGCCTGAAGTTTGTCATTTGGTGTTTGTGTCACAACCTTAATGCTATTTAAATGTAGTTTTTAGTATCTATTATTTAAAAAGGTCTACTTTACGACAGCAAAAAGCTTTGATGGAATAAACCTCAAAGTACACTGTAGTGCTGGTATGCCACTTCATTAGAAGTGGTGCATAAAACATATGCTGTTGACAAATCTAATTCATTAAAGGTGAGGTAGATGCACTTTAAAACAACTGGATGGCATCATTATCTACAGTTCTTTTTATAAATTATTCTTCTTTTCCCTTTTGACTGAACTTGTCAGTGTTCCCTTTTCAGACTGTGAATGTTTTTGCCTTAAAATTCAATACCTTCAACATGTTTGGACAAGTTAAATAAGTAGCGTATTTGGTAAAACTAAAATTGTAAGCAGAAACATTCACACTGATTATTTCACCTATATTAACTAATGAGAAATAAAATTAAGCGACAGTGTATAAAGAGATTCAGTGTTATCAAACATAAAATTTAAAAATGAGGAGAGGAGGAAATTACAAAGTAGAACAGAGTAATGTTCTGGCAGTCTTTTGCATTGCCATTCAGATGACTTGAATTTGATATTGAATTGAATCCTGCAAAAGAGAAGGAGATCAGGCACATCACAGCGCTGACAGCTAGCTGACACACTTAGTTCTAAAGGGGAGAATTATTAACCATATTACTCAGACTTTTAGGAAAAGACCAATACTGCTACAAGAACCAGAGGCTACAGAAGAGTTTCAGTAAATTTAAGCTCAGATTTGAAGAGTGGCCCATCAGAGTGGAGAAATCCTTGAAAAGCTTTCCAACAAACAAAACATGTTATCAGTCAAAAAATGATCAAACTCCACTTTAGAATATGTGCCTATGAAACATGGGCATTTTTCTCCTCATCCCAGAAAAAATCAAACTCTTCCAGCAATGTGAACTTCAGAACCCAAAACACAGTGCAGAAGCTTCAACAAACTGATGAAAGTAAAAAAGAATGCTTTTGAAGACTACCTAGACTATGGTTATGGTTAAATTCTACCAATCACATGTTTAGAAAGTACATTGTATACAGGGAAATTGGGGGGAGAAGGAGAAGGAGAAGGAGAAGGAGAAGGAGAAGGAGAAGGAGAAGGAGAAGGAGAAGGAGAAGGAGAAGGAGAAGGAGAAGGAGAAGGAGAAGGAGAAGGAGAAGGAGAAGGAGAAGGAGAAGGAGAAGGAGAAGGAGAAGGAGAAGGAGAAGGAGAAGGAGAAGGAGAAGGAGAAGGAGAAGGAGAAGGAGAAGGAGAAGGAGAAGGAGAAGGAGAAGGAGAAGGAGAAGGAGAAGGAGAAGGAGAAGGAGAAGGAGAAGGAGAAGGAGAAGGAGAAGGAGAGAAGAGAAGAGGCCCATAATATCATCCTATATATTTTTACGTAGACATATGTACACATATGCATTTTTAACTAGATACGGTGTCTCAGATTAATTCCATATTGTCTCTTTCAAAGACAATTTCATTCCAATATAAGATGCACCCTGAACATTCAAGAGATGTACATTTTGCTTAGATAAATCTGCCATATGAATACATTAAATATGGAAACACTTCTAAATATAATTTACCTAGGCCTATTTTATACCTCCATGAATTGCAGCAAATCAGTTTCTGCAAGCAACTCCAAAAGTTTAAACTAGAAGATGACAGATTAATTCACCACATTTCAATCAGCATTTACCATTTATCTCAGAAGACTTGGATCATGTACGTCCAATATGCTACATCTGCACTTCTCCTAACCGGTCTCCCCATTATTCCTCATGCTGCTCCTCTTTAATTTTGTTTCCTCTCCTACCACACTGACTTTACCATCCCATGAGAGGAACAGTCATATTTGGTGAAGTGTTCCCCCCACTGGAACATGGGAAGAGGTAGCTGCTGATGCACAAATGTACAGGGGTATCTCCACTCAGGGAGAGGCATCTCAAAGGCCCCTGGTCCCCAGAATCTCTTAGTGAGCTGAATTCAAAATCATTTCACTTACGACATTCTCATTACCCAAAAGATCCATATTCTATTGACTGTTGCTACTAGCAATTCTTCTTGTGAAGTCATTTCTCAGATCTGGCAGAAGGAGGCTTCTGTTTACCTCTTAACACCTTGGAATTAGGACTTTGGATATCTAAATCCCATTCTGATCTGGCAGTGTAACTGCCTGATAGATCTTTGAGGATGCTGCTGGGAATGGGGAGGTAGGAAAGGAGGAGAAGCAGCAGCAGCAGGGGTACCATCCTTAAAGAGTTATGCTTAAGCAGAAGAGCTCATAATGCATTCCCAAAGGAAGCTTTCATGCCCTCCAACATTTCCTGAAAAGACAGTCTGTTTCCAGCCCATGATTTCAGCTCTGCTGGTACTTCAGCCCTTAATGATGATTTCTATGAGCAATCATCTTGCAAGGGATGTTGCTAACCTCAGTGTCCTTCTGTCAATACTGGCACTCCAGATGGGAGAAACCACTAACAGTGAAAATCTTACGCACTAATAAATGTCATTGCTTCACTGAGAAAGTGGAAGAAAAGAGGAGGAGATGTCATTGCTTCAAAGGAAGTCTTTTATTCTGTGCATAAGGGACTGTCAAAGCACTCCCTCTGCAAAAGGTCTAGCTGCCTTTTCTGCAATCCTTAGATTATTTTCAGGAAACGATTTGGAGGACCTCTCCAATTCTCAAAGAGCTTCTGAGACTACAGATCACAACAGGATATTGTTGACTCTTTAGATAAGTGTACATGTCACTCACAACATAGAGCAGTATCTCTGGATGGGACAAAGACTTGTGTCTTGTTTCTGGGTACACCAAAGGCTAGTAGAATCAAACAGTAATCTTCTCAATAACAACACTCCACTTCTTTTCACTTCCAAGTCCACAAGCGTGATGGGAAACAGTCAGCCATTAACCAAAACTTCTTGTTCCTCCAAATGAATTCTTCACCAAAAAAAAACAGTGGGAAAAGAAAAAAAAGATAGATGTTCAGCATATTTTGTACTGAAATGAGCCTCATTATCAAACACTCCAAGCCTCCCTGAAAAGATATACCCTTTCTTATGGCAATAGGTTCTTACAGTAATACAACATACTTCTTTCCAACATACTAACAGTTGGTTTCGGATAGATTTTTTGGCAAATGCTGTCTGCTTCTTCAGTCTAATAGACAATGATTGCTGTTAAAATAAGAAAGCACCAATGAACACATCAATTTACTACGGCCTTTTTAAGACACTAAAGATACACTGAGGAAGCTTGCCTTTGTCGGTGCCTTGGATTTCTTAGGGATGGATGACAAATAAAGTTGTAAGAAATACAACAGATATCAGCAATATCTCCTGATGACAATGCTCTCACATTAACTTACAGGGCAACTAAGCCATTAAAAGGAAACTCTACAATACTCTAAACCTCACTGCGGGGAAAAAAAAAATAAATTACCTTCAGTTCCAAATATATGCCTGATATTTGCATTTCACTATATTATATGATCTTGCAGTTACATTGATGAAATGTATAGCTCCAGTGCTAACAAACTGAAGGTTGTTTTGATATTAGCCTTCCTCTTGTTGCACCTTCATTGTCTTCCCTATTATAATTCATGTCATATTTTTACCTAACTTCTTTTTAGTATTCTTCTTTTCTTCTTTCATTCACAGACATCCACATCTTTTGCATACCCCCTGTGCTCACCTCAAGTAGAGCAAACAGCAGAGAAGGTGTAAAGTACACATGTTACCCCACATGCCTAAATTGCTTTTCTAATAACATTGAGCCAGGGCATCAACGATGCCGTTGCATGCCTTGCAAAAGCCTGATAAGAAATAAAACTGTTTTGTTCTGTTTTTATTGCAGAAAAGAAGCCATTTTTCGTATCCGAACATTCTCAGTATATACACTGCTTTTTAAAAACATACAATTACTATGAAAAAAATATAATTACAGCTACCATTACACACCCGCCATTCTGACAGGAGTTACTTAGGGAAGAATAATACACTGAAGACAAAAAAGTATACTTTAAAACAAAGACACACAAGTCAACACATACGATCTGAATGGGGTTATGCAGATTCTCAAAAGAAAAGTGGTGAGAGGACCTGTATGAACAAAAAGTTGCTGGCCGTTTCAGAACAGATCTCCGACACAGGTGAAAATATTAGAAGGTCAGTGGGGGAAGTAGGTCGATTAAGTATGCCAGGCAGGCGTGGTGGATGTAGGTCAGGGCAAAAGACTGGTATACTGATTAAGAAAAAAGGTCCAGGCAGCAATGGACTAGCTAAAGTCATGCAATGAAAAGAAACTCAAATTTTGTGTAGCACAAAAGTATTAAATGCAAAACCAAACCATCCTACTATCTCTATTTTAAAACAATAAAAAAAAAAAAAAAAATCTACTCCAAGTCATGAATGACTGAAGTGCACTAAAGAAGTGCATTTCTCTAATTTCTTAACAAGCGACCACATAAAAAGTGCATAGCCTAGCATCATATACAGAAGAGTTACTGAACGAGTCGTGGAACTTCATGCTGTCCTACCTACATTTGTCCCTCAGCTTTGATTCAGGGACACGCATTAATGGGATGTGAACTGGCGGAAGGGTAGATGAACGTAAGGACATGAGACAGGCTGAGCTTACAATAATCAGAAAAAGAAATGATCTGTGTAAGTAAAATGGTTACATGAAAGAAACACAAATGATGCCTCCTGAAAAGACTATAAAAGAAGTTGATTTTGAATATAAATACAAACTTGTGATAACTGAGTTTATAGGTACAGCTTGAAGAAGAGAAACAATTTTCACAATGCGCGTTATGTCATTCCTATATTCACCAGCACACAAAAGAAACTTTAAGCACATTTACAGAAGAACTATTATTAATAAGAAACTATTCTAGCGTCTGTAGGTTTGTATTGTATTCATATTACTTTTAATTCTAGTAATCCTTTATAACTCCAGAAAAAAAATACATATTTTTTCCTTCACCATTAGGACAAAGCCAGTGAGTGCTTCATTCTAAGGACAAACTTAGCAAACGGATTTAGAAGAGGGCACAAAGTAAGATTTTTCTCCACATGAAGGCAGTGTGGAGACACTTCATACTGTTTTAGTTTTTGTGATAGACTTTTCAGTGTAGCTTCTGGTTGCTTTTACAAAGCTGTGATTACTAAGCGTTTGACCAAAATTCACCCATTTTGACTTTTGTTTTGTCCAATGATACTGCTTAGATGAGTATATACACATATGTACACAAGCAGAGAGAGCCAATGTCAAAGATTAGCAGACAAAATCTTAGACAGAGTTGAGGCAATAGCAGAAAATACCGCTAAGAAATCCTGTTTTAAAGTGTGCAGTTAATCAAGCAGTAAACTTTTTCATATGATGGAAAATATTTTATGTACTGTATTTGGTTTACATGGCCATGTTTGTTGTTTTTTGTGTTTTTTTTTTTTTTTGGGGGGGGGGGGGTTGCATGGGCAGCCTCTGTGAGCAGTGAGAACTGAGTGAGCACCAGCCCTGCAGCCCCCAGGTGAGTGCAGCAGGAGGGCAGGAGGTGCTGCAGGCAGGCAGCAGCAGTTCCCCTGCGGGCTGTGCAGGGAGAGGCCCCTGGTGGAGCAGGCTGTCCCCCTGCAGCCCATGGGTCCCACATGGAGCAGATCTCCACGCTGCAGCCCCCCCATGGGTGGAGGAGCCCCCGGTGGAGCAGGTGGCTGTGGCCTGGAGGAGGCTGCGGCCCATGGAGAGCCCCATGACTCCAGCTGGTGAGCCATCTCCCTGTCCTAATCACAACCCATGAGCAATTTTTTCATTCTATCTTCTCCCCCTGTCCTTCAGAGGAAGAAGGATGAGAGAGTGACGTTGTAAAACTCAGCTAGCCATCAGTGTGAAACTAGCATACGTACACAATGAAAAGTATGATAAGATATAATCTTAATAATCATAATGATAAGATAATCATAATCATAATGATAATTGTAATCACAACAATAAGATAATCTGCCAGATCACACTTCATAACAGAAAAAGATACCTAGGCATGAATGCATGATTTCTGGCCAAGACGGCCAATGGCAGTTCTGCACTAACATGGGAAAGAATTTCTTCATGGTGAGGGTGATGGAGCACTGGGACAGGCTGCCCAGTCTCCATCACCTGTGGAGTCTCCTTCTCTGGAGATATTCAAGGCCCGCCTGGACGCCTACCTGGGCAGCCTGCTCTGAGGAACCTGCTATGGCAGGGGGGTTGGACCTCATGATCTCTCGAGGTCCCTTCCAACCCCTACAATTCTGTGTGTCTGTGTGTGATTTGTATCCCAATCACCGTTACTGCAAGAAATCAGTTATCATTTTCCACATAGAAAGACAAAAGGCCGATGTGAGACAAAAGGGATCCCAAGCCCTAAGCTGCCATTAAAAAAAAAAAAAAAAAAAAGTTTTGGGCAGAAAGTTAGAAGACTGGAATGAAAAATAAAATTCCCTCTCTCTTTTTTTTTTTTTTTTCATTTTTGTTTCTCTAATAAATAAAAATAAAAAGAAGCAGACAGAAAGTCTGAGGAGATGGGTACCTGAAACACTGCAAGTAAACCCTTTCTGTGAAAGAGCAATGTTTGTGTAGCCCTGTAAATCATGAAATGAAGATATCTACATGTATCTCAAACACAGAGACCAACAGATTTAATATAGTGTATAATACTGCACAAATAAACCCTCTTTGCTAGGACAAAGAAACCGAGAGGTGCTAGAAAATATTCCAACTAAACTACCCGTAGCTGTATGAGAATTCATTTTCTCTCTTGTAAATTAGAAAAAAAACAATCATAATGAGATGAAAGATATTTACTGTAATGAGATCACTGCAAGAACAGAAAAATATGAAAATGTTTTAGTCTTATTATGAAAAAAATGGAGAGCAAAAATGAAACCCAAACTTAGCAGACATCACCAAAATGAAGGTAATAGAAATATTCTTACCATATTAAAGCTACACTGCAATAGAAATGTAATTTAAGTGTTTGAGGTTTCAGTTGTTTTGATTACATATATTTCATGTGCCACAGACAAGAAAAAAAAATTCTCAAAGACAACAGTCAGCATAGAAGCATGTAACTTCCTCACTAGTAGTTAGTTCACAGTATTCTGAGCTGAAAGTTAGTGTTACACCTTGAAGACTTCTCTAGTCTGTTAAGAACATTGTGGCATAAAAGTATTAGTTATTATTAGTTGAGTAATAATTAGCACTTAATAATTGTTAATAGTCATAATAATTCAACCGTTAGCTTTAAAATATATTAATCCAAACAGAGTAAACAAACTCCAAATTAATTACTCTTATGAACAGTTGTATGTCTTTCTTTTCCAGTTTTTAAATTAGAGAAAAATTTGACCATCAAATAAATATAACATTTATAGACAATAAATTAAGAGTAGTCTGAACCTTAGATTACATATTGCAAAACAAATACATTTTGGATTTCCCGCACTCCAATTATGAAAATTAATATGAATTCCTTTACAGCACTGACAACTCAGTAATGAAGGTATAAAGGTGAAATAGGTACAAACAGAAAATGTAATGTGCAACTAATTTTCATTGTCTTTTAAGTAACGCAAGCAATAAATAAAGCCATTTGATTCTGAATATTCTCGTAGACATTGAAAGACTTTTCAGTGCCACCTATATAAAAACTAATGACAGAGGTAGTTGTTGGTTGCTTCACCATACTGGCATACAAAAACATAACTGCAATGTTAGGAAACAAGTTAGGACAAAACTTCAGTAAGCAGTAAGAGTAGCAACCTGAATGTACTTTTGCTTTTCCTTGAGAAGTTGTTACAGTTTTTGCATTACTTTATAGTAATGAGGCTATAGACAAGATAAACATTTTTCATTTTAGACAATTATTCAATGAGTGGTTCCATGTCTTATGTGAAGCAAGAAATCAAAGCGTTGCTTGGGATTCCAAATAAATTTCACACCATCTTGTTCATTCAATCACTGGAGTACCCGAATACTTTACAAAAAGCAACAGAAGACTCATGAGGACAGACAAATCTATTTCTCCATATTGATAGCTGGGAAACTGACAGAATTAGAACCAAGTGTCCAATGTGCAGACACATTTTAGATGTCTAAATCTAAATTTTTTGGTGTGTTCATGGTGGTTGTGCTTTTTCTTGGGGGTGGTGGTGGTGGTGTTTTCCCACTGGAATACTTTATGTTTTAGAGCAGTAATGAGGTCAAAGTGTTTCTTCTGTTGATCTAAACTGTAGTGACAATAACATAATATTTGTGAAAGTTTTGATGTACACATCTCAGTTTACATGGGAAGGGAAGGGAAGGGAAGGGAAGGGAAGGGAAGGGAAGGGAAGGGAAGGGAAGGGAAGGGAAGGGAAGGGAAGGGAAGGGAAGGGAAGGGAAGGGAAGGGAAGGGAAGGGAAGGGAAGGGAAGGGAAGGGAAGGGAAGGGAAGGGAAGGAAGGGAAGGGAAGGGAAGGAAGCTACCTCAGTGAGTACAAAGCAACTTGTCCACTATCACCTATGAATTTTTTGGGGAGAGAGTAGCACGCAGTTCTCTAAGGACGCAACTCAAGGTTCTTGACTCAGGATACGTGCCTTTTATTTTCCAACTGTAGGCATAAAAATGAAGTACTCTACAAAGCCCGTTTTATTTGTTATAAAACACTGAACTATTTATCGTGTGCGACCCACTCTGTGCGTGAAGGTGACACCAGGAACCAAGCGGAGTCACACCTCACGCGTGGATGGGACCAAAGCAAAGTTTCACAAGCAGCTGCCATCCCAGCATTTCTGTTTCTAAATTGCGTGGTTGACGTACAATCTGAACGTTTTTTTAAAAAAACTTTTTTTAGGTAGCTTGATAATTAAAAGAAAAAAAATAAAATCACTGAATTACATAACAGCGACTTGGTGCCAACGGGATCCCTGGGGCACTGCTCCGGGCAGGGGGCACCTCAGCTCCCTCTGCTAAGCAAGCTGCCACCTCGCAGCCCTACGAGCCTGCTCGGCAACACCATTTGTGATTTCCACAGCCCAAAAGCACATCCGAGCCTCCGAGCCGGCGCCGGTTTGTCTCGCAGCCCTCCCTTTCGCCTCACCACCCCGCTGTCCCCATCCCTGTACACACCACCACCACCACCACCACCACCACCACCACCACCACCACCATCATCATCATCATCATCTCCTCCTCCTTCTCTCCTCCTCCCTCGGATCGTGGCGGCGCTGCCGCCGCCCGGGGAGCCGTGGAAGTGCGCAGCGCCCGGCCGCGCTCCGCCCGCCGCACCCCGGGGAGCCCCCGGGCGGGGCTCCTCCACCGGGGGGGGCAGCCCCGCCGGGACCACTTACCCGGCCGGGCGCCCCCAAGTCCCGCTCAACTCCGTGCCCGCAGCCCCCCAGGCGACCGCCGAGCGTCGGTGACAACGGCCCGGAACGGCCCCGCCGCCACATCCGGAGGCGGAGCGGGAGGAGGCGGCCACGGCGCCGGGGAGCGGCCGGGGCAGGGCTCGGCCGGGAGCGGGACGCGAAATGGCGGACGCCGCCCTCCCGCCTGGCGTACGTGGGGCGCGGGCGGGAGCCGTGGGGGGCCCCCTGTGAGGAGGAGGAGGAGGAGGAGGAGGAGGCGGAGGTGGCCTTTCCTTCGCCTTTCCCTCGTCTTTCCCTCGCCTGTGAGGGCCGTGCCGTGCTGGGGATGCTCGGGGCTGCGTGGTGGTGGTCTCCGGGCGGTGGTCTCCGGGCGGTGGATGGCCGCCGGGTGAGGAGAGGAGGCTGCTGGCGGTGTGCCCCCCCCCCCCTCCGCCAGGCAGCGTTTTGTAATGCGTGTTTTGTGTTTCCTTCTCGGTTCTTCTTCTTCTCGCAGGTGGCGAGTGGTGGCCTGAAACGGAGAATCCAGTTAACTGGGTTTAGAGGAAGAGAGAAGAAAGCGCTAGTTGAGTTGCTGTTCAAGCTGGACTGCGTTTTCCTTGATAATAAGGTACTGTTCCTTGAAGCACCTTGGTTCCTTGGTTTAAAGCAGGAAGGGAAAAAAAATATGAAACCCTTAAAATCAAGGACTTTGTTGCAATTTAGAGTTGTGTATAAGTAGCCAAGAAAGTTAAAATGTTTTCAGTGATAACACTGTATTTTGTTTGTGTTTTTATTAGAAATACAAGAATTGTACGCATCTTATAGCAAAAAAGCTTTGCAAGAGTGAAAAGTTCTTGGCTGCCTGTGCTGCAGGTGAGTAGAAGATTTGCTGTAAGATGTCAAAGAAACATAACAGAACTAGAAAGGAGCCGTTGAAGGCTTCTAGTTATCTGTTTTAATTTCATGAATGGACTGTCTTACAAAAACACCTTCTGCTTGTTCGGATATCCTTGATTTTTGTCAAAGTACCGTGTTCAAGTTTTGATTTACTTCTTTTTTTTTGCTTTGGTAAGCGCTAAGGGATATTCCTGCCATCTTCTTTCACTTGATACGCATTTCTTTCTAAACAAAAACTTTTGTTATATATCAGTTGTGTCGTGAGGTCATATCCAAATGATACAGGTGCATGTACACGGCCACTTGAAGAGGGATTGGATAGAGTATGGACACCTGTAGTTACTGAGCTGGTTTTTGACACCAAATTTGCTGTAACATTACATAGGTAACAATGTTAAGCATTACTGTTTCTAAGTTTCTGCTTATGCAACATGACAAAATTCCAGGCTGTTGCCACTGGCATCTTACTAGGTGAGCCTCTGGCCTTTCCTTTTGTTGTTCTCTCACCTAAGTTTGGATGCTGGAATTCTGTACTGGAGCAACTAAAATGCTTTTAGAACAAGAACTACGTATTTACGTATTTGAAGATTACTTCAAATATGTAAGAGAAGTTACCTGTGAGCATTGTATAATGAGTTCAGAAAACAATGTAGAGTTACAAGATGTTGTTGTCCTCGTCAATTAACTATTTAAATGTGATCCTTATTTTTCCCATACTGTGTTATAACAACTGGCTGAAGAAAGTTTTGGGGTGGATCTTGAATCTTGAATTTAAGAGATCACAGATAGAAATAGATAAATTTACTTGTGGGATTACCTGTAAAATTAGTGATCTTATTTTTAGACTTGCATGCTACATTAGCTGGTATTTCAATCATCTGTCACTGCTAGAATTTCAGTATATGCATTAATGATTACTTGAACGGATCTAAAAATTGTGATCAAACTCATATCAAAAAGGAAATAGAAGGAAAGGTGCCATAAGAGAAGCAATATATGGATATATTTAGAATCATATTTGTGGTGTAGTAATTCATTTTAAGTGTTAGGTACTTTAGATATCAAATTTTATTTATATATTTTATTTTTGGAGATTTAAAACAACTGGATATATTTTTCTTGAACTGAGTGGAAACAATATACATACTGTCCATGTGGCAATGCAAAACTCTTGTATTTCTATGTTTTCAAACCTTCCCCAAAACCATCTAGAACTTAATTTTGGAAAAAGCACTGTTTTTGCATAATCATTGCCCTTGGTGGCAGACAGAGTGTGTTCATTCCTAATGCATTTTTTCCTAAGTACAACAGATCATATTTAAACCCATTTAGAACTCAATAGAAGTGAAGGTAAATAAACAAGGATGCCAGTCTTCATGGACTCCCTAGCTGACAGATATTTTGAGATGGAAACTTTAAAATGAAAGTGATTTTTTTTAACATACTCGTTGTGTACAACACACCTATTTCATCAGAAGTCTACTGGTACCTACACTAGGTTATATAGAAATACCGTCTGTGCTCCTGCACTGAGACATTTTGCCACTCAACCCTGCTGTTCTGTGAAGCCAATTAGGTTCACACAATTCAAGTCAATTTCTCTTACAGTATCTTACAGTCGGTAGTGTTTCAATACAGGAGTAGGTTACTAACCACAGCTCTTGACCTGAACCTGTAAGAAGAGAGAGACAGAGGAAAAAAAGGGGAAGATCATTACATACAGTATCAGAAGCATACATGCAGAAGATGAAAGAGGAGAGGCGGAGGAGGTGGAGCCAAAGGAGGAGAGGAAAGGGTTGTGAAAAGAAGAAAGGGGAAAGACAAAAGTCTAAAACCAAATCCCTTGAACATTGGTATTCACTGTACTTGCAATGTAAGTAATACCAAGAATGTATAAAAGAAACAGCTTGCATGCTAAAAACTTCATCCATCTTTTTAATTACTGGAGGTAAAACATTGCCTCAGTTCACTAAATTAAGCCCTTAGCAAAAGCAAAGAAACAAAAAAAAAAATCAACTAGCAAATGTGCCTGGACAGCATTATTCCATACAAGTACACCAAATGCACCTCAGATCTCTTTAGGTATGTTTTAAAAAGTTTCAACTTCTCTTGAAAACAGAGGGTTAAGCAAGATTCTTTTCAAGTTGTAAAAAACAAAATCTGGGAAGCTGGAAAGTTCCATTTGCAGATTTTTGAGGAGAGAGTCACATAATTTATCTGGGAAGGGTAAAAAGGTACTTGATCGTTAAAAGAAAACAAAATGATCATTTTCAGTGGTATTGTGAGGTTTCTCATTTTTAAACTGTGAAGATGAGAACTCTTGTAGTAGGAAGAAGTTTTTAAAATGGTACTTATAATTCCAGCTTTTATTTGCACAAGAAAGGTTGAAGTTAATTTTATAGTAGATCTTCAGCTGATTGCCATTTGTCTGCACAAAAAAAATCTTTTGTGGTTGACAGTTCATTTGCTTTTTAGGAAAGTGGATACTAACTAAGGAGTACATAATTAATAGTGCCGAAAGTGGCAGATGGCTTGATGAAACAACGTACGAATGGGGATATAAAATTGAAAAAGACACCCATTATTCACCTCAAATGCAATCTGCACCTAAAAGATGGCGCAAAGAACTGATGCAGTCTAGTGCTCCAGGGGCCTTCCACAGATGGAAAGTTATCCTCGCTGTTAAGGAAGGTGGTAAACGAATGATGTCTGTTATAAGGTAGGAGGATATGTCTTAAAGTTTAAATAATGAACAACAGAACACTTACGGTATGGTGTTGAACACATCTTTATTCTTCCATCCCGGTTAATTTGGTCCGTAACAACTTATGGCTCCTCAAACTCTGAATCATTTTCATTAACATACTTTCCTACATTTTACAATTCTTTTAATCTTTGACATGACAGCTTTTTTTAGATTTCTTTTAGTATAATGTTAAATATAATATGCATTATCATATGTTAGTATCTTAAGTAAACAAACATTCTTCATGAGACATGGTACGTAGATTTTTGCTTTTTTCAGAGTACTGCTTTATGTTGTGTATGTTACATACCAAATGGTAGCCAGAATCATTTCATTTGGTTGGGTGATCTGAGCCAGCCATGAGCTATGGCTTAAGGATCAGGGCTGACCTTTTTCTTCTGACTTAATTTTTTGGTCACACCTATGCAACAGTTTCTTGGAATTCTGAAGACCTGATTTGTACTGTAACACCTAATATGTACTGTAACAAATACAAAGGAACAGAAAAACTCAGGTGTGAGACTTCTGAGACTTTGTTTTTCCTCCCTACCCTTTTGGATTCCATGGTTAAAGTGTACATTGTATCACAAGCAGAGTATTAAAAGTAACATTTGTAGTCTAAAACAGTAAAAGCAAGCCCTGAACTTTATTTTAGAGCTATCCATCAATGTAAGTTCATTGCAGGAGAACGTACTGTCCTATTCTCCTCTGTTGAAATTCCAGTTAGTTAGGAGTACTTCTCAGGTCTGGGTGTACCACAGATGCACAGGCAAGAAAGGAGTGAAGTTTGTCTGGTTGATGATGGAGGATGGAGCGGGGCTGCATCACCAAATACCTGTCTGCAGTTCATAAAGACAGTCTTGCTATGTGTGCTCCTTCATTTTCTCAAGGCTGTTAAGCACCCTTTTATCTTCCTAATAAAGGCTGGGCAATGTCATATGTCTGCACTCTGTAGTTTGTGAACAGTAATGTAACTTTTAGCAGTATGAATATAACACAGTAAATAAATCTTTCCAAATATGTTTGTTTAGAGTTCTGCAAGCTGGAAAGGCAACCATATGTTCATCCCAAAATATGGGGAGTGATATTACTCATATATTTCTCCATAATAAATTCTTTCTTATGCAAAATGAAAAACGTTTCCCTGAAGATCAGTGCTACCCTTTGCAATATATAGAAGATTACCTTTTTGAGGTAAGTAAATTTAAATAACATACATAAAATTAATTGTTCATTTTTGTTGTTAAAAATTTATGTCAAGCTTACTGATTACTGCGTGTGATGCAGCATTAATAATAGAGATGGATATGATCACCCTGAATGTTTTGAACTGATGAGAAGTAATGCAGCTTTCTTGTACTGGGACTGTTTATCCTAGAGAAGAGAAGATTTCAGGGAGATCTCTTCAATCTGTATAAGTACCAGGAGCAGGGGGTGCAGAGAGGGATGGAGCCAGGTTCTTTTCAGTGGTGCCCAGTGCCAGGACAAGGGGCAGTGGGCACAAACTGGAGCACAGGAGGTTCCCCCCGAACACCAGGAAGCAATTCTGTGCTGTGCAAGTGATGGAGCAGTGGCACAGGTTGCCCAGGGAGGTGGTGGAGTCTCCTCCTGGGAAATCTTCAAAAGCCACCTAGGCCTGTCAAAAACCACCCTGCTCTGGGTGGCCTTGCTTGAACAAGGAGTTTGACCAGATGAGGTACCTCCAACTGTAACCAGTCTGTGATTCTGTAACAGAAAAATTGTCTTTCTCAAAGCAGTGTGATTCAAACACAAAGCAGTTTGATTCAAAGCAGTAGAAGTGACACCAAAGAAGCATACATCTTCTTGCTCTGTATGTTCCTTCTTGGCTCCTGCTTTATGCTGTTACTAGTGAAAAAATGAATTAGACTTCAGGAGGAAGTTTCAGTATAGCTGACCATCAAATAAACAGTTTAGAAAGTTATTCATAAATTACTAAGAAAAATACTGATTTTTGTTCTCTTTATTTTGGTAACAATTTCAACTGTGTATATCATGGTTGGATCAGTTGATCTAAGAGGTCATTTCCAGCCCTTATGATTCTATGATCTGTGTGTTTATCTGTCTATATATATGTGTAGATGTAGATATTTTAATTTTATCCTCATGCTTCATAATCAATTTAATTACCTCTTTTCTGAACTAACCTCAATTATTCTACCTTTCTATTCATAACATTACAGTCTGGTAAAAAGATTCAGATTCTTAACTCAGAAATAAGTTTGCTCATAGTCCTTCATGGCTGGGAAGAATTGGTGGTTGCCATATGAATTCTCTGAGGGAACTCTAGTTTGAGTGAATTTCCTCTACCCAATATTCCTGAACTAGGAATTTTACGTAAGTTTCTCACCTATATTTCCTTTTCAGTCAATGTACTCAGACTGATGCTGCAAGAATTGTAATTCCTAAAATACATGTATGAACTGCTGTCTAAGCATACCATTAACTCCCCATTACTACAGAGAGATCTTTCCATGCTTGAGGACAAAGTTAAATAAAAATCAATTTAAACTAAAGGATTCTGTAACGAAGCATATGAGAACAGAGTAGCCTGCCAAGAGGATTTGTTAAGCATGTTTTGTACACAATATGAACATTCCTTTAGACTTGCAGTTCCTCAGACTGAGGGATGATTTTAATCAACTGCTAAATGAAAAATGCTGCCTTTGCAAAATTGTAGAGCTAACAGTGGGTTTATTAAGGCGGTATCTGCTTCTTCTGGAAATCTTTTAAATTCTTCAGATCAAAGTATTTTGCTCTCCTCATTTTAATGATTAATAAAGCTGTTACAAAAGGGCAAAGAAAGGGGTTGAAAGATCTTAGTGTTTACATGCTGATTAAAACACACAGCAGTGTGGGATCTTGGTCTAGTGCGTACTTTCTTAATCATACTTGTTCAGGGAAATTTATGTTTAATAGAGGAATGAGAGTCAAGTATTTATGACTATCTCACCTTTTACTGATCTTCGTGAACCCTGAATTCATCCCAGTTGTGATAAGGGTTCCATCTTAACTGATTCATTAACTTCCACACATCCTTTTTTCTAGATTTCACTGAAGTAACTCACTTCAGAGGACACAAAAGCACCAGTTTCTATTTAAATGCATCTAAAGAACTCAGAAAACTGCCAAGACTCTGTCTCTTAAAAGGACAAGAGTAAAACATAGGCACAACACTTTTGATAAAGCATAATGCACGTTAACAAAATGTTATGAACATGCTCTTTTCTCTTGCTTCTAGCAGTACTTGGTACACATTTCATTAGGACTCCAAAAGTTCCAATTTTGTAAATCCATAGTCCTGCTATTTGACTACTACTTCTTCCCATAGACACACGTGTCTTATGATGTAGTACCCAAATCAAATCCTAAATTAAGCAAACCCGCAATGTATTCATTTTTAAAAGTGAAACTGCTTGTAGTCATAGGCTTTCAGACTGTTTTCTCTGTGATTTTTTTTTTTTGAACCAACGCTTTGCTTTGTCTGTATTTCGGTTACTGTTCCTTTATCAACCTCTGTTAAAACACTTTGTGGGACTGTCATAAATGGTTTGAAACTATAAGGTGTCATTTTTTCCTGGTTCAAGGTGTTAAAGCCATATGCATGATTCTAGGAAGCTATCCTCATACTTAAACACAGACTTTAGATGCTTTTTTGGCTGCACACTAAAATTCACAAAATTTTACCAAGACAGTACTATAAATTATTTGAATATAAGTATTTTTAGAAGCATGTTGAAACTAATGTGCAGAGAGTGGCACTAAAAGTAAAGGCTAGTTAATGCATCAAAGCAGGGCTTGAGTTCACACTCATCTTTGGCTCACCAAAAACTTTTTAGAGCCATTTTCAAGTTACCAAAGGTACTTGACACATCAATTCCTCTCACAAGCAGACTTGATTTGGGAAAGACTTACTTATTACAAATTAATAACAGAGTAGAATAGTGAGAAACAATAAAATGAAAACCACCTTTGCCCTACTCAGCTCTTCTTCCCATGTTCATCTTTGTTCCCTGATCTTCGGTCTTCTGCTCCTCCAGGAGCAGCATGGGGGTTTTGGCCAGTCCTAACATGTCATCTCTGCTGCTGCTTCTTCCTCACACCTCTCTCAGGAACACTCCTTCACGAGCTGCTCCATTGTGAGCCCTACCCGTTGTTCAAGCCTTCAGGAATGGACTGTTTAACCCGGGGCTCTGTACCTGGAGCACCTCCTGCCCTCCTTCTGCACTGACCTTGAGAGCTGCAGGGCTGCTTCTCACTCATTTCTCACTCTTGCAGCTGCTGCAAATGTCTTTACCATTTCTTAAATATGCTACCTCTGGGGGCTCAGTTGTAGCCAGCAGAGAGCTCCATTTGAAGCTGTCTGAAACTGGCTCTGCTCTAAAATGGGGCAGGTTCTGGTCTGTCTGTACTCGCAGTGGCCACACCTGCAGCTCTTCCACCCCCACTACCAAAACCTTGACGTGTAAACTCAATACAGCCTAAAACAAAGATGTTTTAGTCTTAGTCTGTGCAGATTAAAAATAAAAAGCACAACTTCTAAATGTTAAATTACTAGCTTAGTGCACCCTTAAAGGCAAGAACTGAAAGGATTTCACTGTAGTGGCCTTTATGGTCATAGTCAAACTGATGAAAACCTGTATTAAAAAACAAACAAACAAAAAAAAAACTCACTACATTTTCAACTAATTGAAAAGATGTGGGGTTTACTTTTTGTTTCTGAAAAGTCCAAAAAGAGAATCTGTTATGTCTTAACACAGCTCTTGTTTCAACAACAGAAATTGGGACAGAGTTAAAGTCAATTAGGAAAATAACTGGGAAAACTTATATTGGTAGTTCTCGTGCTATAGCTGCCTGCAACTTCAGTGTTCTATTTCCACAGATGTTTACTTGCCACATGCTGTAGACCCTTGAAAAACTGAATAAACATGCATATACGCACATGTATTTACAATAAAATGTATGGAAAGTCTTAAGGACATAAAAGGTGTTTTACAACATTAGCTGAGAGCACTGTAAGTGTAAACATAATGTTTTTTTTTTGTTTGGTTGGTTGGTTTTGTTTTGTTTTTTTTTTTTCTCTGCACAGAAGGAAATACAAAATATAGAAGTTACCCAAATGAACTATTTCCTGCCTGCACAAGAAACTGACCAAAATGAGTCGAATGTGAAGCTTGTCGAACTGAAAAATGCTGTGTTAAAACACATGTATTTTGTAGAGGTAAGTAACAGCTAATGCTTTCTCAGCATAAAATGTAAAATATATATAATTAAATGTAATTTCTGTTATGGATGCTGAATCTGCTTAACTAGATATTTTAACTTCTTCTGCAGTAGTACTGGTAACTTTTCAGCCTGCAATGTTTAATAAGCTTATGTTTGCTACATCTGCCACTAGCCAGAATACAACTTAGTAGTGGTAATTGATAGTCATAAGTGTATGAAAGACATAGTAGGCTGTTTGAATATGTGACATCAGTAAAAGCTAATATTGTTCAACACAGTGTCACATCGGATTACAATCGTTCTATGACTTCCCTGTTATCTAGCTAAATTACACTAACACGTTTTTAAAACTAGCCATATCCTAGAACAAGCAAAAATTTTGTTGATTGATGTGTTTGTTTTTTTGTTACAAATAAAAACTAGAGCAAGAATCATTTCTTTGTTTTAATGCTGTCACATATCCTGATAAACTTGGTATATTTGTAATTAAAAACAGCATTTAATTTCTAGAAAAAGCAAGTAATTACAGTGTGTATTATCGCTGTAAATTACACTGATGCAGGTGATACTGTGTAAGTATTCTTGTAGTAGCTTACATAAAACACTCTTGATTCTGCAACTGCAAATTAAGGTCCACTGTATGTGTCAATATTAGCTCCTACTAACAAAACAGTTCAACAATTCAAATGCGCAATGTACAAAATGTTTAAACTCAAGACTGGCAATTTGAAGACTAATGTTGCTTAAACACATACACCGTCAAATACAGTGACGTTTTAACAAGACCATAACCTCCAGACCTTTAAAAAATAAATCTATCTTTAACTTCTCATGCATAGGACTATTGCAGGCTAATCATAGTAGGCAGCGGATCCCCACACAGCTCCCTTCCTCCCCACAGCTGGACTGGGGAGAGAATCAGAGGCAAGAAAACCAGTGGGTTAAGATAAAAAAAAACAAAAACAAAACAAACAAACAAACAAACAAAACCCACTGTTTAATACGTAAAGTGAAAGCTGTGGGCACAAGCAAAGCAAAATAAGCTCCCATGAGCCTGCAGACGCTCAGCCATTTCCAGGTAAGCAGGGATCGTCATGCCTAATGGGTACTTGGGCAGACAAATGCCATGATAATCAGAATCATTTCCCCCAGCTTTTCCTGTTGTATGGTATAGACCATTGCTGGGGTCAGCTGTCCTGGCTGCGTCCTCCTAGCCTGCGGAACTGGCCTTGACAAATATGCCAGCACTGCTCAGCAAGAGCTAAAGCTTTGGTGTGAGTACTGTTTGTGGGTAGCACTGTTTTGGTCACAAAACTGTTTTAGTCCTCTGAAGGAACTTTTCCCAAGTTCCCAGCCAAAGCCAAAGTAACTACATAACAGTAGCACTTTTTATTGGATTATCTTTCCCTCAAACTACTATGAGTGATAGAATAATCGTAATCCTGAGGACTTTTTCTGATAAAATATATTATTAAGCTCATAACACTAGGTAACCAAATGTAACAGTAATACATTTTTGCACCTACTATCATCACATTACAAGCAACTTGCAAGGAGTATCCTGAGTTTGCATTTCGCCATAGAAAACCTGAAAGCACTAATACATTTTAATGGTTAAGTGGATCAAATCTAATCAAACTGTCATTATGTAACAACTGCATGAAAAAGAAGCAGAAAATAACACGAAAACTGAGGAGGAAAAAAAGCCCATATTATTTTCCTCCCAGGTCATTGATCCCTTATTTCCTAATTTTGCCCTCTAAATATTAAAAAGAACTACAAATAGATTGCTATGCTTATTGTTTTGTTTTTACTGTGTTTAAAAAAAAAAATTAATACAGTATTTATAGACCATTGTTTATTGGTATCCAGTATACAGGTTGACCTTTTTTTTTCCTTTTTTCCTTTTTTTCCCTTTGTTCCTTTCTTTTTTTTTTTTTTTTTAGTCCGCTAAACATAAATCTGCTCATAAAGACCAGTTGAATAATCCAAAGGTAAGGATTCTTTTAAGACTCATGTTCCATTTATGGATTTTTTTAAATGCAGTCAAGTAAATATACTTTTATTGTCAAATTAGCTATTGGATAGATATTTTAAAATACCTACATTATCCAAAAGTCTAATAAAATTATTGAAAAGTTAAAGAACATCATTCAGGTACTAGTGAATTTATTCATTGTTATGATGCTTCCAGTACCACCCTCTTATTATGAAGAAACCCTTTAATACTGCTGGCTAAGAGAGCACTATCTGTTAATAACCTAAGAAAAGAAGAGATGCCATAGCGTGCTTTAGGGTCACAAATTACTCAAATTATGTATTTTTGAAATATTAAAGTATAAAAGATATATTCTGCTTTTTGCAGTTCTCATGTTTTTGCTAGTAGAGACAGACTTCAGCTAAAGATTGTCTCACCATAGGAAGAAGCAGTACTTCAGCATAAGCTTTAAGCATCATCATGCATGCTTCAGAGTGTACCAAAGTATGGATTACAAGTAGGATAAATCATATTTTCCAGTCCTATTCTCATAAATACTTTGACTTTTATTTTTCTTTGTTACTATTTAGTTATCATGTTTCTTCCCATTAAGACAAATGCATGCCATAAATCAGGTACAGGTCAGCACCAATTAAGTCTTTTTGTAAAGTCTCTTAAGTAAAAAATACTTCAAAATTTTTCCGTTTTCTATATAACACTAAGAATAAATTATTTAAATATGTTTGTTGAAATGTTACATCTCAGTAATTAAAAAGCATTTTACATATTAGCTATGAGCTATTGTACTTTATATGATAACTTTTATTATTTAAAATGTTAAAATGGGAAACTTAAAGCATATGTGTTACCTTTGTGTATTTCTTCTGTGGCTGAAGACTCATTTTTGTGAACCATACTAAGTAAATAGTTGCTTGGTGTGTAATTGAGGTCCCAGTCTACACAGAATTATCTTTTTATCTGTTTCCTTTGTATTGATATAATAGGGAAAGAGAAAAATATTTTTAAACATAAGCACCAAAATGCCTTTGTCATTGTCCTACAGTTGTAATAGTCATGTTTTGGTTAGTGAGTTAATGGGGAAATAAAACTTTAGGGTTCTTAACACTTTTGAAAACAAATTGTTATTTGGTACTCTTAATGATGATAGAACTTTAAATTTGGAATTTTTGAACCCAATTCTAATTATTTTCTGAAATATAACCTGACACCATCTTTTATTGCTTTGTGGAGTATCTGTTGCTAGCCTTAGCATTTGATATGTTTCTTCTAAAGGCAGTATATTTGTGGCTGTTAAACACAGCTCCAATATAGCTCCAATAAGTATTTCTATTAGTCTAGAGGAAGTAAAATTAAATCTACAAACTAAATTATCAGATTAGAACTGTACTGTATTCAGTCATCTCAGTTTGCTTCTGCTGGTTCTATCAATCATCTTCCCTGTTATTATTTTATATTGTCTTTTCTGCATTTTGGTACATAAAACACAACTTCTTTTCTATGGACCTTCATTTTCATTTGTTTCTGCTCAAAATTGTAATGCTTCTCCTAGCAGTGCTCCATAGAAACTGGCATTTTCCTCCAGCCAGAATGCCAGCCAGCACAGCTTTGTACACAGCTTATTGAAGGCCCTCATTACAAAAGGTGTCTCTGGATTCTGCAGAAAGTCCACTATATTGGTTTTCTGTCATCCTTCCTTATGGCTTCCAAAAAAGGTGAAAACCTGTTCTCCTCTTCCTTCCTGCCCTGAAAGTAATGCAAAAGGCCTCTCACAGTCTCCCAAAACTGTTTTTTTGTTGTTGTTGTTGTTCAGTGTACTTTTTAAATAATGCAGGGATGATGACTGTTTCATCTAGTACCAGAATTCTTAAGAAACATAAGTTCCTGTCACAATATAGATAGATGTGCTGGTACGATCACCAGATGAGGGCCAGTAGTGACATGCTTGTCCCTGCACAATATATTGTCATCTTCACATGTTTTAAGTCTAGAAAACAGAGTTGTTCTTTGACTGCCATTAAACACTTTAGGATTGCTCCTTAGATGTACTGTTTGCATATAATTAGCATTACAAAAGTATGAATGCAACTATTATTTCCAAAGGAAATAAAGTGAACGTTTTAATAGCGCATATATGAATGAGAAAATTGAAATAAATGTGAGTTGCAAATGCCAGATGCACAAAGATTTGATTAAAAGAAAATTGTCTAGGTGAGCATCTTTATTTATTGTTAATATAGCGATGGCAAGCCTTAGGGATCTCAGAAATGTAACATTTGCTGAGAAACTAAATGCTGCTAAGATGGAGCTCAGTAACTTAGACCTTAGCTGTGATTTAACAATGATTGTCATTTCTTTCAGAAGTTTTTGTTGTTGTTTTCAGGTTTGATCTGAGGTCTTAATGTTTTTGTTTCTTCTTAAAACATTTCTTGGAAATTCTTGCTAATAGCAGTATACTCCATGACCTCAAACCACAATTGGACTTGAAGACTGTGTTAATTTTAGTTTAAATTAATTTTGAAACAATTGATAGAATGTCTCATGTTGCTTTGCCTACTATGCATTAGGAGCCAAGTTTCTTGGCAGAGTTGGTAGTCTACCAGGTGTTAAGGGACTAAAGCATTAAGAAATCTACATAATTGTTTAACTTCTATCAGCTCGGTGTTCTACTGTTCTTGACTCTGCTTCTTTCAGTTGTGGCTGGCTCCCTATCCCAGTTTCCTTGAGTTTACCAGAATCTCAGGCTATACATTGAAACAAAATAGCTGGGTTTCAAAACAGAAGCTAACAGCAGTATGGTTGCAACTGGCTTATGCATCTTAGCTTTGTGTTGGACTAGAGGAAAGACGTAAGTAAATAGCAATGTAGCTGAGATCTTCAATATCCCCTCTTTGATATTGGTAGTCAGAGGAAATAAAGTTTTTGAAAGCTGAGAGTACAGACGATAACAGGGAAATTACAGGGCAGATACAGCATTCCAGGAAAGCCATTATAGATTCTTCCAGGCCCTCTGAAAGCTTGCAAAATTAAGTGTTTCACTGTCATGAGTGGCACAGAATAAGAAGGAAGTCTTGTGCCATTAAGAAGATCTTCAGAGCTTTGAAGTCCACTGGGATCAATACCTGTACTATCTGTAGCATTAGCTGCTTCTTTGACATGTCATGGTAATAGGAGCAGCACTAGGGAGATAAAACTGTTACATGGTTTGTAGCTTTATAAAGTTTATAAATGATGTATTTTATGATTTTACATTTTTGTTCAATTTTTGTTAGCTGTTTGCTGATACTGATTATCTTACTGCTCCAGTCATATGTTGTAGGATGTACTTTGCATGTTTAGAAGCATTAACACTTATTCTTGTGCATACCTTTTCAGAATAAATTATAGACAAGCTAAGGAGTGTGTGAATTGTAATTTGTTTTTTAAAAAGGTAAATGCATTCAGATGGTCCTAGGAGGTAGGCACACTCTGTAAGGCACTTTCTTGTTAATGAAAGCCATAAGCAGTAAGGTGAAGGTATTTCCATTCTAGATGGCAGCAGCTCACTGGATCAGGCAATAAGTAAGTAATAAGTTCTGTTGTAATTTATAATGTTCTTCCATTTTATTATATTGCTAACATTTTACTTAGAGACTTCATGTTAGTTCTTGTTCTGTCTTGGGTTTGTAAGTTAGTTCATAAGCTGCTCTTTTACTTATGAAGATATCTCATTTCTAGCTTAAAAATACCACCCTGTCTGGAACTGCTTGGCGCATATTTGAAGGATTAATTGAAGAGCATTTATTACCTGATGTAATCTCAGAAGTTGCAGCTGTTCAGAAGTACTCTCTACCTCCTGTGCATTTTTTTCATTCTCTTCTAGAACATGTCCTGTTGGTAAGAGCTGAAGGCTAAAGTATTAGAAAAGACTATAGTGTTATAAGTATTAAAGCAAGAAATACTATCTTTTCTTCTGACAGTATGCTTACAGTTTTAAGTGATGCATTAACACTTCACATTCATCAGTGTCTTAGGATTACTGCAATCTGAAAAGGAAATAATACTTTTTAAAATATTATTATTAATTTACAAAAACTATGAATGTGGGAGTCTAAATATTGTGAAAGAACCAACCTAGAGTTTTTTCATTGCTTGTAGAAACAGCCCTTGTGCAACAAGTTAGGTTGGTTTTGTTTTTGTTTTTTTTTAAACTTTGTAGGCAACAAGTAGAAAGCTCAATAGAAAAGGTTTGTTCTAAGCAGTGATTTATTCAACTGGAATACCACACTAGAGCAATTTTTTTAATTGTTTTTATGTTTGTTTGTTTGTAAATTCTGTTTTTTTGTTTTGTTTTGTTTTTTTCTGCTTCTATTTATGCAATAAATAGCTTGTTGATTCACTGATGTAACTTACTTTAATTTTCCTTTTGGTCATGCGAGAATCATATTGTATACTTGGCCAGTTTATAGCTAATAGTTTTTTCTTATTTTGTTACAGGGAAATACTGATGCAGTATTTCTTGCTAAATTTCGTCATGTTTTGTACGTTGTTCTCCAATGTGATCCTCCTTGGAAATCCCCATCTACATTAAGATATTATTTGGATTTTCTTCAGTGTCCTATCTGTAAGAATGGCACGTGGTCATTTGTAGAGATGCTTGTAAGGTAAAAAAAAAAATAAAAAATAAAAAAATAAAAAAATAATGTTGTATTAGATGCAATAGTTCTTCCAGATAAAAAGTTTCCCCAAATCTGGGGAGAGAGAAGGAGGCTTGTAATGCTGTTATACTGAAGTCACATCTTCACCAGAACAGGTTAACTGTATGTGAATGTCTAGAATTGTAACTGAGATTTGGACTTCTGCTATGTTTCGGTATCTGTTAGGTCACAGGTAGAAGTGTATCTTGGAACAGAAAGACGTGTTTGTTCTCCTTTTTTGAAGAATGATTTCTTGTTTTAAACTTTTCAAAATTGCGATTATGTATTATTGCTGTTCTGGTGTATATGTATATATGTACATACACAAATATATCTGCAGTTATGAGGCAAAGCCCAGTCCTGTCTTGGCAAGCATGAAGCTTCATGTTCTATTTTGATTTTAATCATAAACTTCCTATACATGTACAAATACAGGACTTAGTTTATATAGCTGTTTGGCAAGTTTGTTGATGCTTTAGCTTAGGAACTCATTCTCTGTAACTTACATCAACATAAATTAATTCTTCACGCAGTTGGAACAAAACCAGCACTTCTTATTACTGTCATAAAATCGTAAGTAATATTTAAATAGTTTGGTACAATTGTGATTAGAAGCATGTAAATGTAGACCATAGTAACTATGTACTTCAAGGGCATTGAATCGCTGTATTGCAATCACCATAATTGGACATGTAACAATTTTGATTAGGAACATGTCATTGTGCCATTTTAATGGAAGAGAATTTAAATATGAGAAAATATGTAAAATATTTTATCCTTTCTTACCTTTTGGCAGTCTCTGGATACCCAGCAGTTGTATATCTGTTATTTTTTGTGTGTGTATGTGCATGTTCGTTCCAATAGTCAAAATTCTAGCAAGTAAAATTTTGCACTCATTACTTCAAAATTATCTCTATCATGTCAGACAAGCACTACATTTGACCAAAAACTGTATTCCTGTCAAACAACTTTGTGAACTGTTTCTGAACTGTTTATAGGATGGATGTTAAGTCTATGAAATACTGCAAGACTGCCACATAATTAAAGGATTTACAAGAAGTTCTGTTAAAATCAGTAAATCAGTGGGACAGAAAAATACAGAAAATGTGGTTAAATTATTTAGTTTGCGCAATTTTCATCTACAAAACAAGGCCCCAGTTACAAATCTTTTAAGTTTTTGGAGAAAATGTGGCTTTAAAACCAGAAAGTTTGGCTTTAAAATGATAAATGTTGCTGGGGAGCAAGGCATTTCCTCATCAAAATTGTCCAGAGTCAAAGTTGCCTTCTTTGCCAATAAATCAGACTATCATTTCTGTCATACAAATGGATTTTTTGGTGTTTATTTTTCAGGTCTTGCCTTTATTGTAAAATCATTTGTCATGCAGCCCCAGATTCAGGAAAAGCAGATGAACAGAGAATAGTTCACAAAACATTATTGAAGTTTTTCTTTGATTTAGTAAAAGCTGAAGTAGAGTTTCTGACAAAAAGGTGGGTTTTACAAGATAACACTTTTATTACTTTTTCACAATTTAATGTGGATTTTTGTATCTACAGCAGAATGTATCCTGATTTTTTGTATGCCTGTGATAATATTCTGTTTCACAGAGATGATATTAGTTAACATTTTTTTATATTTCTCAGTTCTCAGTTTATTTATTGTAATTGGCATTGTTTTTTCCTAGTTGTGCTTTAAGACCACTAACTTTTCACAGCTTTATTATTTCACTATATTACAAGTTTCAGTAAGCATTGAATTTTGCCCGTAAAGCTACATTTTTAGCTTTGCAATGTTTCCATATCTATTCCATAAGTTAGACAAGCAGTATTTTGAACATACTGATTAAAAAAAAAATCAATTAAGTGTTACCTTTCACTAGGGAGATAATTATCTTTCCTTAGTTTATGAAATATAAAAAAAGTCTTGGTTTTGCTCTGGCAGCCTTTATATATTAGCACAGTATTAGAATTCCTTCAGTCTGACTGTAATAGTCATCATTATTTTACTTATTATTCATCAGAAATTGTGTCTGATCTTTCCATACTTAAAAATTGCCAAACCTTTGTATGTTTTGACAGAAGATAAGGTTTCTGTCTAGTAACTATAGTAATCAAAGTGGCATAAAGAATTTAGTTTTTTTCACTTGCTTCTTTTTTTCAGTTTGGTTGAAGAGACCAATTCACAGCACCAGCAAGTAATGCCACAGACGGTTCTTCTGAAAACCTTTTGGCTGGGAAGCGAAACCTCAGTGCTTTTCACCAAACACATAAATATTCTAGCAGATTGGGTCATACTTTCCCATAGAGAATTGAACAGAACGAATGATGTGAGTATGAATTTTATGCTTTAAAATAATGAAGACTGACATATTTTTTAAAAGACATTTCTTTGTTCATTCCTTTGTGAGGAATTATATGTAAGTATCACAGCTGCTTGTTATATCTGCCTTTTGTTGTGAAGCATGCTGGTTTTTGCTCCACTAAAGGAAATGAATTGATCCATAAGATTCTCATATTGATCTGTAGAGAAGAAACGAGTCATGAGTAGCTTGTTGGCTACATTCAGATGTTCATATGCCCTTACCAGCAGGTATTACTGTAGTCATTAGGGACACAAGCTTAACACATCCTGTCAAACAATAAGGTGTAACAAAAGAGATGATTATCTTCTTTTACAGTGATTGTATTCAGGCAGCATTGGAAGGAGAGAGCTAAGAAAACATTTTTTTATTGTCTTCTACAGATAAACATTATTTTGTTTTATTAAATGCCCCAATTTCTTCCCAAGTCCTTTAGTTTCATTTGGTATCTTCCCTAGATCTTTTCATAAAAACGGAATTGAAGGCAACTTAATTGCTGTTCTGTGACCTGCTGACCAGCAGGACATTGACCTGAAAGATACTGAGTGTCCTCTATACCACCTCTTTCTTTTCAGAAGCTAGAGGCCTTGTAAAACATCTTTGACTTCTTGATTCTCACATAAAATACAAACTTACTGCTGTCTCTGCATTCTCTTTTAAATTATTGTGAAAGCACAGAATAAATAGGTACTTCATTCACTTTTTCATTACAATAACAGAACAACAATAGAAAATCAAGTATTCCAGAGAAAAAAGCACTTTCAATATAATAGCTACTAGTTCTTCATTATGTTAAGAAAGCAGAAGGATTAAACATAATGAGAGTTTCACTCATCTTACCCTGCCAGACCTCCTACCTTTTTTGAGGACTATCAAAGACAGATATTCTGAAACAGTGCTGCCTTTTATCCATGGTCAAGATATTTAAAAAGTGCCTAAAATTAGGCTTCTATACCCATATTTATATTTAAACAACCTACCTTTTCAAAGGTCCTGAGCACCAAGCAGGCTCACATTCAGTTGATTTCATTCTGATTCTTTGGAAAATGAGATTGCTTTCATATGTTTCCTGGTGTTGAGTGTGCAGTTTAAGTGTAGACATATATTTTTTTCCTACTATGCCTTCTTTTGACAGTTCCTGTACTGTAAGCCATACCTTTATCATAAAATGCTCTTTGCATAAGCAGAATGATCACTTGTGGCAGAGTGTAGTACATGTATGAAAAATAAAGGAGGACTAAAACACAACATCAAAGGTAGACCTACCTCTTGTTTAGATTTATTTTTTTCATAGTTTTCGTATGTTTAAATACAATAGAAAATATATGTATATAAGAATTGCCCTTTCAGCACACAGCCAAAGTGTCTATTGTGTTTACATTTGATTTTATGCACTAGAATTATTGTGCAATGTCTATGCAGATTTCTAGCCTTAAAAAGCAGCTTCTATATTCTGTTGCCTGATAATATCTGTAGTGTTGTATGTTCTGTCCTACTGCCCTATCCTTTAGCTTCATATTTTTATAATGTGTTTTTTTTCTTTTGCATTTTTTGGCAAAAATAACCTCTAGAACAAAATACTGTATTTTTTCATACAAAACTCATCATTATTGCTTTCTGCACACTCAGTTTTGTTTAGAACTTGAAATAATGATTTTTCTTATATTCAGAGACTCCCTTTAGAATTCCATAGCTGAAAAGGTCAAAGGAGCCAAAAGAGCGGATCCTCCCCAGCTATGCAGACAGAACTGTTTTCTTTTCTTTTTCTTCTTTTTTTTTTTTTTAATTATTCTAGAGATGCATACATAAAAACATATGCCATTAAATAGAGCATATTGGGTGCGATTTTTCCCCCGTCTATGTTTAAGGGTATGATTCATTGTTACCAGTTTTGTTTTTCAAAAACTGCTTACTTAAGAGGCAGCACATTGTCAATATACATGTAAGGCCACTCAGAAACCAAAATGAAAGGAATGGCTCAGGCAATCTTTCTATCCATATAGGCAGAGAAAATTGTGGTTTTTTTTGTTTTTTTTTTTTGCACAGTGTAAGGGAGTGACCATGTCTGCCTGCTTACATAAAGGTATGAGATCATGGAAAGACACAAACATGCCAATTGTGATACAGTAATTTTTGTGAAAAAAAAAAAATGTGAAATAGCAATTCCATGCAATTGTTCTGTGAAAATATCTGTGAATAAAAGCAGACAAATAATTTGATGAAATTCTTTTTGAGGCATATCAAACAGATTCATTTCAAAGCAGTAAAAGTGATTTTTTAAATTTTTTTAAGCTATTCAGAATTTGGTGAGAAGCATCTCTTTTTATGTGATTCAAAGGGATTGCTGATTTGTTGCAATAGAGGAGAGGGGAAATATCTGTATATATTCCCTTTCATCTAGGTGTTTTAGGTGTTTTTTGTGTTTTGTTTTGTTTGTTGGTTTTTTTTTTTTTCAAAAAAATACTTAATACGTGTATGTCAACATATATAGATACACATGAGTATGTAAAAAGAGCAAGCCGGAAACAGATGTAGCATCTGAAGTGAGAACCTCCAGGCTGAAATTCTGCATGAGAGTTGCTGGTTTTCTTGGAGTAAACGCTCTGAAGGTGTTCCACTTTTCAGGCCCATTGTAACCTGTATCAGGAACAAAGAGAAAGAATGAAGGGCTACAAAGTAGCCCTGTACTATTGTACAAATGTAACCTGTACTATGGTTACATTTGTGGGTGACTGTCCTTATATATATACAGGTACATTTACTTTCTTGTGCTGGAATTTACTTTATCTTAAAAGTACTATAATAAAATTAGTGACAGGAAATCAAATGCCCTCACTCATCACTGTGTTAATCTACTGGGACATCCTGGTGGAAGAAAAGTATTCTTGTAGTTTAAAATGCACTGCCAAAGAACACAGATTTTTTTTTCTATCTCTTCATCTCTGGAATCAATATTGAATATATGGCTAAAATCACAGAATTGTGGGAATCATTCTATGTGTGTCATAGTTCAAAAGTAAATAGGATTGATGCAGAAACTCACAAGGTTCCTTGAAACAGCTGTTAAATTAACTTTAAAATTTACAAAGGAACAAACATGTATTATTTGTAACACTGAGTAGCCATTCGGTTAGGGCATCTTTTCATGATGATACTGCCTCGCTAAGAGAACCAGAACACTTGTCATCTCTGCTGCTGCTTTTTTTTTCTTTCTTTCTTTTTTTAAGGCCCTAATACAGTCTGACAAAGGAGTGTAAAAGGGATTCATTCCAATTTTTATTTGCATTGTCTTTCGTATTTGTAGTGTGCTTTCTTCCATGTTTCCAGTATCATTACAGTATGGTATAAATTTGTAGAATCGAATGTCTTTCTGTCACTCCCCAAAACTTTCTTTGAAGTATGTTTTAGACAGTTTTCAGAGTACTGTATAACCCTGAAAACATTATACCTTATAGAAAAGAACTCTAAAAAGCATCTCTAAAATAACTCTCTAATTCAAAGTAAGAAAGTTAAAACGAATTTTCCTGTGACTTAAAAGCTTTCCAATGAGAACTTTTATGAATACTAAAACTTCTATCACTGGAGGACTGTACTTGACTCAGGAAAGCATTAAATGAAACAGCAATGAAGGAACTGGGTTTGCTAAGCTAACAGTCACCCATTGTCCTTTATATGCTAACACACTCAACAGTCTTTGTTCACTAAAGTGCTTTTTCTCACAGAAATAGCATTGATTCTCAACTCTAACAACCAGTAAGAGAGTTTTGAAAAAAAAAATAATACCTAATTGGATCTTACTTAATTAGCTAAGCATGGTGTAGTGGGTTGACCTCAGCAGGCAGGTAAGCCCCCACTCAGCCACTCACACAGTGCCCCCTTAGCAGTATGGGAGAGAGAATTGGAAGACCAAGAGCAATAAAACTTGTGAGTAGTTTAGTAAGTGAAGCTAAGCTGTGCACACAACCAAAGGAATGTAAGTTCATTCACTATTTCTCATTGTTAGGCAGATGTTCAGCAGCTTCCTCGAAAGCAGGATTTCGGTACACATAGCGGTTACTTGGCAAGACAAATGCCACAGCTCCAAATGTCCCCCTTCCTCCTCCTTCGCCCTCCTCAGCTTTTTTTGTTGAGGACTACATTGTATGGTACGGGCTATTGCTTTGGTCATCTGGGGTCAGCTGTCCTGGCTGCATTTCCCCCCAGCCTTTTGTGCACCCCCAGCAAGTAGGTAGGCATCAAAACTTTCACATTTTCCCAATTAGCACCCCCAGACTACTTGCAAGTTCAGTAACTTACAAGTTCCATCAGTGTTCAGCAACACATTGGTGTGTCATTAACACTGGTTTAGGAACAAGTTCAAAGCGTAGCACCATACAGGCTTCAGTGAATAAAATGAAAAATCTTTGCCAACTAGACCCACTTTAGCATTGTAAGTAATACTGCAGTCCTTTAAGAATCTTTTCAATGTGACTTGAAGTACTACATTTGGCAGTAGTACATTATTTGCAGGAATTTTAAAAATACACATTTGCGGAGAAAAGAGAGATACTTGAATAGTTTCTTAATGTACCTACAAAAATCACGTCCTCGCTCGCTATTTATAAAGAAACAAAACTAAGTCAGGTTCAAGTCTGGTTAGAGGTTGAAGAATAATTGATAGGGCCACAATCAGTGGTTTCTGAATATTCTCAATTTTTATTGATTGAAGGCTTGTGTTCCAGTGACCAATAGCCACATAATTTATCTAAATGATGGTGTAAACAAAGACCTCTCATTTAGAAGTATTTTTACATAATACAAAATTGCCTTTGGTAGTAGCGTAGGAACTTATGTCATTTGTATGGGTAAGCTGTTATTTCATATTCAGGAATAAGAGTTTTCATATAATGTTCTTAATATTGTTTTTGTGAACAAAAAATCAGCAGGCTCCTGTGAATTTACTTTGTTACTGATTTGCATACAGAGATCACTTAGCTTTGTAAGAATTATGCTTATATTCTAAAAACAATGCTGCTGAAGCTTTTTTATTTTTTTCCCTTTATGTTAGGTTGGTCATTAAAAATATCAACTAAATTACAGGAAAACTGCAGCTTTAAACCAGCACTAGAGTTGTAAAGCTGGAAAAGACTTTTCTTGAGGATTTAGAGGATGTAGTCTCATGAGTTTGAAAGCAGGAGCTATTTATTTGCACAACGATGCTTTGGCATACAAGGTAGCATTCCCATGTCAGTTGGAAATGCTAGCTTCTTTTTCCTTTTTAATATTGTACGCATATGTTTTCATGACTATGTTTATATTTTTCTGTGGTTGAAAATGAAAATATTGTTAATAAGTTAATATTTCAATATTTTTAAAACAGATTATGCTTTAAGTAGATTAGAGCATTTTCCCCTCATTTGTAACATTGAACCACTTATTCCATGATAAGAATGCTCTTGGTTTGTACTGTTATCAGAATGCCAACTAAGCCTCTACCAGTTGGTGTTACCTGGGTTGTGTTTCTCAGCCTGCAGATATACTAAACTAGCACAGGTAGCTGCAGCTAATGTACCACCAGCCAGCTTTACTTTTGCAACTGTATATCTTTGTGGAACATCATTTATTCATTTATATTTGGAGTATTAACACTCATTATTTCCATTTCCTGTCCTGTCCTATCTATCTTGTGTCTCCCAACCTCCCCACAAATTGTCACAGCTGAAGTAATACAGCCTTGTGGTTTAGAAACAAGAATAAATAATGTAAATACTTGCACTTAACATCTGCATTTACCTCAGTCTACATCTGTATGTCCTTGATCCCGTCACTTACTTCTGTTAAAAATCAGCTTACTTAATGCATTTCTGTAATTTATTTATTTTTTTTAACAGCTATTGACAGGATTAAAGTATTCACCCAGTGTTTTGCTTTGAGATCCAGTGACGAGGAGGTGTGCATAACTAAGAAAATTCAAACAAATTTGGAATGCTTTGAATTAGTTCTTCAATTTTTACTCCTGAATTCTGGGAAGATACAGTGTAATATATCTTGAAAATATTTAAATATTGGCAGAAAAAAAGATCACGTTGACCTGCCATACCAGTGTTCCAATTTTTTTTCCATATGCGATCTCACATTTAATCTAAAATAATGTACTATGATACAGTAAAGCAAGGGGCAAAATAAATCAAGCAGAGCTGAACAGAAAAAAAGGAATTAGGGCAGGAAGCTATCTCAAAGATCACATTCCTGACAGATTTTGTCTAACCAGATCTTAAAAGCTTTCAGTGACGGAGATTACCTCACCTCCCCACACAATGTTTATTTGTAGTTCTGTTTTTTCCTTTTCTTTTGAATGACAAGAAAGTCTGTTAACTGTATGGGCAGTATGTATGTAGGTTTTCTGCAAATGATTTTGTAGTCTTTTTATAATAAATCTCATCTGTGTCACAGTCTCCATTGTTCTCATATATGTCTGTCTGATTTATTGATGAAGCTCAAACTGCTTTGGTCTTTGGTGCTTTCCAGCTCCTGAGGGAATTGTATTAAATTATTATAAACCAACCCTGAATGTATTTTGTTCTCAAAGGAGTATCAGACAAACCATTGACTGTGGTGCATAGCTGAAAAAAAAGAAAAGTTCTCTTTCATTTAAGTAACTCTTTAAAGTCTCAAGCTTACCAATAAATACATATTTGGTTCAATTTCCCTCTTACCCAAAATTGTGTGTTTTGAAGTATGCATTCTTGTTGACCGGAATGCAGTGTATCAGCAGGTGCTGTAGTGTCTCTGCGGTGATTCTCTAGTAGAGCCTTAGGTAGGCTCTACTTAGACTCTGCTAATTTTGTTGAATTAGCTTCATGTATTCTTACTGTTTTGCATGTATTTTCTCTAATTTTCACATTCAAAACTGATGTGCAAATCTGGGAATTTGCTGTGGTTGCACATGTGGTTGGAGGAATGTCATATTTCGGACTCATTGTACAAAATACTTCTATGTGGCAGATAAAGGCGTTGTGTAGACAGATCTGACTATCCTTTGCACACATACTAACTTGGACACCAGAAACGGTGTGTTACCGAACCTATACTAGTGAGGTGAAGTGCTAGTATGGATGAATACATATTTTAATGTGACAGTAGCTCATGGATGACAAATTGTCTAGCTACATGTCATCTTAATAACTCCTCAAGAAAATATGCTTTGCTTTCTTTATCTGTGTATCTTTATTTTTCCTGCAGGTTCAGAGGATAAAAAGCTAATGCTAGTGCCCTTACTTCTGTTCATTTTAAAAATGCAGCTGCTGGTCTTTTTGGAAGTTTGATAGCAGGAGAAAGCTTCCTGATCTCACATACTGCTTAAGTTCTTTTTCTGTGCAGGAGAGTAGCACCTTACAACCTTACCCACCTTTTGGCACATATGTTAATCACACCGGGGGCTTTAGGTTCATGATGGTACCTTTAGGAACTGCAAATCCTAACAGAGCAAGGAGGCTAAGAGCCCTGCAATTGTTAAATAAACACAAGGTTAACTGGCAAAAATGCAATACTTGAAATTTTACAGTTAAACAAAACCTATTTTGAAAATAAATTACTTTGTACATGTAACCTTTGATCATATTTCGCATGGTGTTCTAGAAAGTGTGTTTCGAAATAACTTGTAGTTCTCTAATGCCATATCTCAACTGGTGTGGCATTAATGGCATAATTAATTTTGTTGACCTGGCTGCAACAGTTTGTTTTTAATCAGAGAGAGAAACACCAGAAAAGAACTGATATGCCTTTTATCTGAAGATGTTCTTTGGTATTATTACTGGTACATTTTCAATGTGAATTTGCTATACAGTACAGGTCTATAGATACTTCTTTTCTTTTCCTCTCCTTGTAGGCTTTCAGATGTGAAATAGCTTCTCTATTAAAGGCAATTCTTGGAACTGTAGTGGAGTATTGGATCATCTCAGGTTTACTTATGGACCGAAATGTGTTTTGTCAAATAGCTGGTGATTTAGCACAATACATTGCCATTGCTTGTGACGGTGAGTGTTTTAAATGCTTCTCAGTCTTTTAATCAGATATACCAAAGAAGTCCTGAATTAAAATTCTCAGTTTACATTCAAGTTATGTTTTACCTTCTTTTGCAGCCATGCAATCTTGTGGTATGATGTGTATGCAGGAAACTGTTTTACTTTGTGTGTGTGCATGTGTGTGTCTGTCTGTCCCAGGCAAAGACCAAACAGAGAGGGCTTTCCTATTAAAATCCTTTTAAATAAATCTCTATAGGTATTAATGTGAAATCAAGATTAAAGAGTGTGAAGAGGAAATAAAATCTTTGCAATTCTCTTGTCAGTTTAGGAGGAAGTATAAACAAATCATACTAAACCGTAACTTCAGAGAGGCAATTTGGGAACCTTTGCTCAGACCAATTTTCTGATGAGACCTTTCACTCAACAGACTTGATATTACTTGTTAAAGGCATTTCAGCAGGAAGTCCACAAGCTACCCTGAAATTTTGGTCCTTACAGACATCAAATAGAAACATTGCAATGTTTCATTCCAAATCCTTAGAGTTAAAGGAAATTAATGGGGTGGGATGGGATTCAACTGCTCCTATGAATATTATATAACTATCGCTCCTCTTTGATTCAATGTACTAGATATAGAGAAATGATATGGCTCAGACCATTGTCATTCAACATCAGCTGTGTTACTGGTTGTTTCAGCAACTGGGGATGAGGAACTCAACTAAACTAAAAAAAATAATCTCAAGAAAAGACTGAACGTTGTTAGTTTCATGTTCAAACTTCATTCCCACCATTTTTTTTCCTTTTGTCGTAGAGTCATCGGAAAACTGTACCTCAGCTTTTATACCTCTAAGTATATCCCAGTTTCAATCATATTCAATCATAATTTTCTGTAGAGAAAGGTGTTGGTTAGGCACTTGAGAAGACCTGTAGTGAAAAACAAAAACAAACAAACAAAAATAAAAATCCATGTCTCTAGTCAAATAGTTCGATTCTGGTCTTGGTCTTTCCTATGGAAAGTGAATGATAAGAACCATTGTAACCTGCTTCAGATTTAACAAAAACAACAACAAACAAACCAAAAGAAGTTGGAACTTTGTAGTATGATGTAAATCAGTGGAGCTTTTAGTATCTCCTGTTGCCTCTCCAGAGGATTTTATTTTTATAATAATTTTTATATGCTTCTTCATCCATTCAGAACATTCATAGGAATGACATTCATAGTCTGGCTATAAAGAATAAAGATCATTTGACTAATTGGTGATTGCTGGAGCGCTCTTCAGTCCACAGGACTTAAAGTGTGAAAAACCATAACAATTTTTCTGTCAATCTTGGAGTAGAAGACATCTGTACTTAAATATTTTTGTTTTGATTGTGTCTATATATCAGTTACTGTGTGAGCATTTCTCAGCAGAGCAGAATACTATCTCCGTACAGTAAAGACCTTGGCAGACCTTGCTTTCCACCTGTTTCAGGTGCTATTTTGATGAAATTCTGCTGCTAGAATCAAAATGCAAATATAACCTTAAGAAAAATCATCAATTCCATCTCCTCTAAAAACCAATACAAAACAAACAAACAAAACCCCAAACAAACAAATAAAAACAATGTGGTAGGCCAGAGCTAAGCCTGAAGACGGATACATCTGAATAGTATTGAAATTTGGTTAAGGTCAATTGTAGAATTTGTAGGTCCCCCTGCATTACTTAATCAGATTTCTTTGTTTGTGTTACATACATATTACCTGAATTGTGTTTGTATTATGTCACATGAAATTTTAAAGGTGATCACTTGCATAATTTCATCAAATGAAGAATTTCATTCTCAAAATCAATCTAGAGCTTTCATAAGGTTGTATTCAGAGCATTTTTTTAAAGTGTTTAACATTGTAAGAAGTGGTGCTTTGCCTTTTAAAGTTTGATGATCGTTGTCTGCGAAGCTGGTCTTGTTATCAGATGATGGATAAAATCTTTTTAAATGTGACTATTTTAGCAATTCTAATAGAGAATAACTTACAGTAGCTGCAATAGTAGAGCTCTTTTTATTTCCTTTGTTTTTATCCAGATTTTTCAGTACATGATTTACAAACGTTCATTTGTACCATACCATCCCTCTGGCTTCAGATGTTTGTGGCAGAAGCAGTTTTTAAAAAACTGTGTTTACAGAATAATGTAACTGTTTCTACAGAACCTCTTTCTCTTCAGAAAATAGTAAGTAACTCTTACGCTCCTTAGTAACATAGCATACTTAAGTACTTAACATATAATTAGATTGACTAAAGTCTTGGAAAATATCTGTCTTCTGTGGTGTAAGGTCTTGGCCATTACATGTATGCTCTTCACCTGTAGAATGTCTACTGCATTTATATTTCTATCTGTCTGAGAGCAAGGTTGAAAACAACAGTGAAGTTTTTCTGATCAGGGAATTGGTAACGCCTCTTCAAGTTAATTAATCTGTCTATACGCAGCTAACATGGAAAGTCAAAAGGAAAGCTTTTTAAAATAATCTTTGATGTGAATACTTTTTTGCAATATTATGTCTGTAATTAAGGAAAATGCAAAATACTGCATGGTTTTCCATGAATATATTTTCCTTCAGATTTCTGAAGAGGAAACAGTCTGTTATTCTACTGTGTCCAAGCATTTGTAAGATACAAGACTTTACGATTCTGAACCACAGCGTCTTCCTCTGAATTTCTCCTCTCAAAAACTTTCTTCTGCTTGCGAATCTTTTTTTGCCTTCAAATCAAAAACTGTGATAGCTGATGAGGAAATGTATAATGAAACTCAAAACTACAGTCGCTGTCAGGATATGCACACATCAGGAAGATCACACAGCAATGACAAGACCTAACTTAGAACCACATTTCAGTAACCTCAGTGCTAAAGTCTAACCAGAATATGGAATTCGTAAGTGTTAAGACTTAAAGTTGACAGGTAGAGTTAAAGAAAAACAAAGTCAAACTTAATATTTTTTTCCATACATAAGTTTTCTCAAACTTTACAGAAGTTTATTGTGAACAGAGATCATTGTTTATTAAAACATTGTGTTCAAAGAGAGCTTGAACAAAAGACTGACAGAATTTCAAAAATAAACCAACTAGATCTAATATTTAACATATGTTGCCAACACATATGTAGCAGCAATCACTATTTTTAGTATTGCCATGATTACTGATCACTCTCTGCAACAACTTTAAAAAATGTTAGTAGAGCCTGAAGTTCATGGGTTTCTATGGCTTTCCTTATCATTCTTTCTTTCTTGCTCTATACAATAAATACTGACCACGGTCCAATTTTGTTTGCTCTTCTCATACAGCATCTTATCAGCTAGACTCACTTTCCTATGGGTTCAAGTAGTGCTGTCCTACTCTCTGCAAGTAACTGTACAGTGAGTCTGTCCATTGCACGTTGCTTGCAGAATCTTCAGCGATGTGTTACATACTCAAAGCCTTCTTTAATATTCTTTGATCAGGTATAATGACTGTAATCATTCAGTGAGTCCCGTCACTGGACGATGGTTTTGCCAAACTGCAAAACCTTGCACGACTTTCTGAAAAGAGGGTTAGATGTGGGTTGGAAGCTCTGTATTGCCAAAAATGAGACAAAATACCTACAATGCTATCCCAATAATGAAAGAACACTGAACAGCTAACTGACTAGCTTATTGCTTTCACAATGTCCAAAGGCTTATTCCAACCCTTAGCTTAGAAGGGATGAAGGAGGGGAGTATTTCTTTGCTAAGTTGCTCCCTGGGTTTTGCTCCCTGATGTGGGGGAAGAAAGCTTATAAATACTTCCATTAAGTAAGTGAGAATCAATTTGCTTTTCTTTAGTCTTATATCCAGTTAAAGAGATGAAAATGTTCTTGGCTACAAAAAAAAAATATCCCACCTCCTGGCTCAGACATACCTCACTCACCTCTGAGGCTAGCATATGAGTTGTTGTGAATTACAACAATATTAAAATAAAGATCGCAGAGCTGACTTTAAACAACCTATATGTGCAAATGTCACTTAGGGACCATATTTTAAAAAACTGAGATTCAGTACCCTGTGGGTGGTGAATGACTGCTTGTACATGAAGTGCAACAGAAAAAGACTTCTAATGTACTTTACACAAACTCGCTGAAAATGTTACTTTTGCAACAGGTCTGTTCCTATTTGCCTGCCTTGAGAGAGGTAGGGATGTGTGACACAAGAAAGATGCATAAAGCAAAGAAAAAGAAAATAGGGCATCGGCCATGCCCTGAGTCTCAAAGGGCATTACAGATGCTAAGTGGTGATAAGCAGAACCAAGTCAAAGTGCTGCCTGATCTACCGTAAGTAATACCTATAACATCACCAGTTTTATTCTGCTTTGGGGGACAGCTTCTGACCTGACATATTTTTTGAACTTTATATGACCTGTTTTGTTGTCTACAAATTACTACAACTGACATAAATCTCCATTTTAAACCTGTAACACCTCTGGTGTGGGGTTTCCCTTTTCTCCTCATCTTCCATCTCTGCATACATGCAGACTGATGTAGTAATATTTTCCCAATATTAAAAATAAAGGATACACAGAGAAGTTGAACCATTCACAGAATTACCTTTTAAAAAAGTTTAATTGTGGGTAATTTAATTTTGTTGCTGTTTTATATACAGTTATAATTAAGTGACATATAAATTGCATATTTAAGACATTTTAGAAATAACTGAAATTGGTAGATCTAAGTATGATGTCTGTACACATTTTAAAGTCGTTAAGTACATACAAACTATCCAAAAAAATAAGAGTGATTTTAGATGTGTCTCCTTTGCTCTCTTTTCAGTGACTTAATGTTTAGTAAGCGCTGTACAAGGAAGCGTAGAGCAAATGAGAAAGTTGGGACTTCAGACACCAAAGAGAATTGGTACATTTCGGCTGAAGAGGCACATTTTTACAGGAGAAATGTTAAAGGTATTCTATGTATCTAATTTATGTTAAGAACTTCATATGGTTGGAATCAGCTGTTTCAGGTTTAAAAGTCTTGACCTTATGAATGTTCAACTAAAATGATGGCTTATGCCCAAGAATTATTTTCTTATGGTTCACGTTTCTTTTTTTTCAGTGTCTGTTTGAGAGGAAGAATTGTATATAAGGTGGAATAAAGCTGCCTTCTTCATTCCCCTCCCCCTCCCATATATTAAATACAGTGTACAGCTTGTGTGAGCTCATTCCAGGCTTGCCCGCCTTACTTTGCTAATCCACCTCAACCTGTGCTTGGTAGGATCAACGTCTTCTGATTTGAAAGTATAATTCAGTCTTCATCTCTTTCAGTCCTAGACATTTTGTGAACAAAGACTGAGGAGTATGCTATGTTACATAGCTGTGTTAAGCATATGGACTGTTTTCTTCCAGGCATTCAGCCCAGACTATGAAAGGCATTTGGCTTTTGTCTTAGCTATACTGGAACCCAAGTACCTAAGGAATAAAACAGCACTGCAGTAATTCATTCAGTTCCTACTTATTACACAAATGCAATAAACTGTACTTTACATGAGGCTTTAACTCAACAGAATTACTTGCTGGAACTACTTTTTATTATCTTCATCATCAGAAATTTACCTATATCACTTAAAACACAACTGTTAATCATGACACCCAAGAGAAGGCTTAGGAAAAACTAGCAAATTGAACCTAGGATTGTTCAAAAAATTATAATCAGAATTGTATCACAAACACTGAAGTACAAAAAAAAACACCTCACCCTCTTTTGGGATTTAAGAGAGCTTCAGTAACAGAGCCAGACCATGCATTTTTAAAATTGGTTCGCTTTCTCTTTATTGCTTTTGCAAGTAAAATTGATGTGAATTATTACATGCTGACTTCTACAAAGAAAAGTGAGCTGAAGGACTACGGGAAAAAATGCTTTTTTTTTTCTGCTCTTTCCCTGCCAAAATTGTAAGTAGTATCTACTGTTGAAAGAATGAGTATGGAGCTGACAGATTTACATAGTGAAGGTATTAATATAACAAAATACACTATGTTAATCTTACTGCAAATGCTGAAGAGATTTAGCCAGAGATATTCTTCGTTTCTAAGATGTTTGTTGCATCATCTTTCACCTGGCATCAAGATTTTTCTCTGGCTCTTGTTCAAACCTAATCATTTACTTGAAAGCAAAACAGTGTTCAGAATGGGTCTGAAGTTTTTATCATGCAGAGACTAATGGTGTCTTTACATATAAGCAGCAGTTCTCAGTTGCTTGCTGTTCAATTTTTCACACTTCAGTTTTACATGATACTAAGGCTTGATATTTTTTTTTTCAGAGGATTTTCTTTTTTGTAATTATTATTATTATTATTGTTATTAGGACCCCTTCATGTATTTCTCCCTCTTTTCCCCCTTCCTTTGCTACTGTAGCCAAGTCAGACAGCCTATTGAGAAACAGCAAACCATCTGTTAACGGATTTGAAGTTCTGAATTATACTTGAGTGTGTAGAGGCACTCGTGCTTAGCCAGAAACATTCATTTGAATTAAGCTATAAATGCTGTGTAAAAAGAACCATACATTTTAACGTAGGTTCATGAATAAATTTAAGGGAGGGCAACTGCACTCTAAAGTTTTATTGCTTCAAAACCCAGTATTTTTGGTGTTCTGTGATCACTTGGTGCTTTTATAGTGTGATTGAAGCTTTAAACCTTGAACTGGGGGGAGATAATTCCTGTGTTAAACCATTTGCAATACAATTTCATTGCTGGATCTCTGGTGGAACAGAAGCGCTGTGGGTTTTTTTTTTTTTTTTTTTTTTGAATTTTCTTAAAAGATGGTTAAACAGGATAAAGGAAAATCTTACTCATTATTGAATTTTCTGGCATATAGCCAGGTCTCCTAGTTCCAGGCACTTTGATTATTTTCTTTAGTTGCTATCTCGCCTAGTCTAGTGTAATCTATTAATTTTTTATGGTAGGAGAGACAGCCCTGCATGAAGCTTGCATAAGAAACAAAGTGGAGAGATTGATTCAGCTTCTCTCTTCCCCTGGAACAGACATTAATGTTAAAGGTAAGTTATTCATTTTATCTACAGAACTAAGAAATTAAGCCAGATAAGGAACTGTTAAACATCCTTTTGCTAATTAAGTTTATATTTATGATACAAAAACTGCCTTTACTATTCTAACTAATGAAAATCAGGACTTCATAGCAAACATTGCTGAAAGGTTAATTTTAACTGAAGTGTGCTTTAATATCATGTTTCCTATCAATTTTTTTAAATGACATTTTTTATCAAATGTTTTTCAATAAAAGTTCTTATTTTGAAATCACAAGTTGCCACTGTCACCGTAACGAATGCTAAAAAGTCAACTGTTTTGCTGTCTAATGAATTACATTATTAGCATTTTAGTACTACTTCTGCTGTTTTAAAACTTCCCTTGATTTATAATTCAGACTATGCTGGCTGGACGCCTTTGCATGAAGCCTGTAACCATGGCAGCACAGTGTGTGTCCGTGAAATTTTGCAACGTTGTCCAGAGGTAGACCTGCTCAGTCAAGTGGACGGGGTGACTCCTTTGCATGATGCACTGTCAAATGGACATGTAGAAATTGGCAAGCTGCTACTTCAGCATGGGGGTGAGTGCATATATGCTAAACTGGTTTAGGGAAATTATCCTGAGTCCATACAAAGTTTGTGGTGCTTTTATTAATGGTTGCATAAAATAACATTTAATTATAAAATATTTACTTTAAAACATTTTTAAGCCAAGCTGTTTTGGTCAAAATAAAAATATTACTGTTCTCACACTTATCTTGATCAGCTGAATATGGAATTAGCCAGGATTTTCACTTTTGTTTCCAATATGATAATGTTTTTATTCTGCATTTTACACCATATGCATTGTAACTATATCCTCCAAACTAATTAAAGATAAATATTACCTATTCACCAAGTAAAGCTAAGGTTTTTCTTTTGTTTTGATCTATTTTTACTGTAATGCAAAAATAGATCAGTAAATCTCTATATAATCATGTATTTCAATTTAAATTTGTTCAGCATTTATGAAAATTAATGTGATGGTCTTTGAAGAACACAATTAGCTTGGTAATTAGTTTAAGAAAGGAATCTATATTGTAATTGTGATAACTGCTGTTTAGGGATAATAGTGGGAGGGGCGCCTTAGTTTCTAAAAAAAGATATATTGCCCCTTAGGCAGACACATGATAAATGTTTTGAACAATATGTTTTTTAAGTGACAAGGAACTTGTATCTTGTGTTGAAATACCCCCTATCAACCTAATTAACTTAACATGCTTTTTAAAACAAAACAACAGCAAAGAATGATCCTGGATACCCACTCTTCCTTCTTTTAATTTATTTACTAAAATGGGTATTTGCGATATCCTTACTCTTGACCTACAGTGTCAATTTAATCTCTGTGTTGTATGCTGAGTCCAGATTTTTTCAATAAAAATCATTCTGCTTGTAGCCTGAAGGTAAAAGAATGCACTGTATTTAGATGGCCTATTACTTAATTAAGCTAGAGAAACAAAATTTTATTTCATTCTTGGCGTTAAGACCCTGTGTATTTACAGTCTTCTCCTGCCCCCTAAAGGCTGTCTCTGTCTGTTGTACAAGCACTGGCTCGTAATCGATACATTCATTCCTCTGCAGTTTCACCTCTCTGTGTTTGCCGAGCTTCAGTTCTGGGGCTCCCAGGTGTTTTATATATCTACTGAACCACACATCTGACGTGCCAAGCCAATACCTGGGCTCACTTCCATCGGTCTAAGTGATGCAATAGCCAATATTGTAGTAAGCCCAGCTCCTCAATTGGAAATGGCACTGCACTGACAGATGTGCATTTTTCCTCAGCTATTGTGAAGAATAGGTAGTGGATGATCCTGTTGTCCTACGGGAAGAGCTCTACTTGCACTTGCATTCATCAAAGTTTTCTGGCAACTATAAGGCTGCATGTACCCTTATCTTTGCCTTTGTCACACTCTGGGTTTTGGCCTGTCAAGTAGCTGACAAGACTATGTTAGAAAACGTCTTACCCATTCAGTCTGGATTTACTCTGCTCAATAACTGAAGAGTACAGCTCTGCAATAACTTCTTCCCTTTCTGCAGAAAGGTCCTCAGCTTGCATAACTTAATTATTTTACATAGTGAGGGAGTAAAACAATATAGCTTCAATCATAGGGAAGTTAGAAGCTCTAATAATGGTAAAGTCTTGCAATTAGTAATCTTTTGTAATTAAAATATATTTCTGAAAACATATTAAAGATATGAAATTTTGTCATTTCTTTTGCATAGTAACCCGAATTTACATGTGAAGATTTATATTGTTTTCACCTTTGAAAAACACCACCTGTAGTGTTTCATCCCTCTTCATTTTTTTCTTACTGGCGTGGCCTTTCTTTAACTTATCAGGACATCTGTAAGCTGTTTAAGGATTAATAGCTCCATTGTACTAATAAACAGGAAATACTGAAAGAATGTAGTATGAAAAGAAATATTTTCTTATTCTCTGAATAAGAAAACCATGTCCCACTTAATTACTTTAAATCCAATTATTGTAGTAATTATTTTTTGCAGCAATCTGCTAAGACTAAATTTTCTAGGTCAGTTGAGGAAGACTAGGATTCCTACCTCAGTAGTTTATCTTGATGCGTAGCTTAGGACAAGGTTAACCACGCTATCCAAAAAGGTAAAACAAAGACCACCATAATACATTGCCTTTAATTTTGAGACAGTTTCAGTAAATAACCCAGCCTGTAAATTTCCTAGTGAAATTGTACATTGGTAATAAGACAAATTTTTTACATATTATATGTATTGCTACTTGAAATTTTAGGGTAAGTTATATTTGAATTTAATTCACATTTCTGTATAATAATCCTTCACTTTCAACATAGCAAAACCAGGAAGAAAATTAAAACTATGTCATAAAGAAACTGTTACAAATGTTCTCTCTGCATGTTCTAGGTTGTGTTCAGAATCACAGAATCGTCTAGGTTGGAAGAGACCCCCAAGATCACAGAGTCCAACCTCTGACCTAACACTGACAAGTCCTCCACTAAACCACATCACTAAGCTCTACATCTAAACGTCTTTTAAAGACCTCCAGGGATGGTGGCTCCACCACTTCCCTGGGCAGCCCATCCCAATGCCTCACAACCCTTTCAGTAAAGGAGTTCTTCCTAATATCCAACCTAAACCTCCCCTGGTGCAGCTTTAGCTCATTCCCCCTCATCCCATGACTGGGCACCTGGGAGAACAGACCAACCCCCACCTCACTACAGCCTCCTTTAAGGTATCTGTAGAGAGCGATAAGGTCGCCCCTGAGCCTCCTTTTCTCCAGGGTGAACAAGCCCAGCTCCTTCAGCCGCTCCTTCTAAGACTTGTTCTCCAGGCCCCTCACCAGCTTCGTCGCCCTTCTCTGGTTACAAATGTCTAGCTCATCAGTTGTACCAACATAACAAAAATGAGTTTAAACAGATTCCTAGTTTCTGGCAAAAAAAAATAATCTTGATCAGCTGCCAGCTGGAACATGTCATTATTATTAATATTTGTATTCTTCTTGCAGGACCAGTCCTTCTACAGCAGAGGGACTCCAATGGAAAATTGCCACTGGATTATGTTGAATCCCTACCAGTAAAACAAGAACTTTTGAACATTGTTCATCCAGAAGAGAAAATTGAAAGATTCTATGAACGCACTGAACAAGATTACTGCAGTCAGCAGAGAGAACTGTGGTTGATTTTATTTAACAAAATGCTGCTAAATTTTTGTTCAGTTTATAATCTGTTTTCACCCTTCCCTTCAATTCTCAGAGAGGTAGCTTGTTCAAGCAGACTTCCAGTAAGGGCTCGTGATTACTGTAAGATAGAAAGTACATTTTCTGCAGATTGGTTAGTAGATATGTACTTTAGAGAACTAGAAACTTTTAAAAAGCTACCACAGTTTCTTCAAGAGATATCTACAAACATGTTTATTTTTCCAGGAGAACAGATGAAGGCTTTATTAGCAACTCTGGAAACTATGGTAGAGGCAAATCAGCTCTTTACTTAAATCATTTAAACTGGTAGCTTCCAAAACCAGTTACCATTAGTTAAATCATGATGGCTGACCATTGACAGTTAGCTAACAGTTTTTTGACAACTAAGAAGTACAAATTTCACAGCCCTACATGTTTTTATCGCCCATGACATCAATACTTTCCTCTAGTTGAACCTGGAAATCAGATGTGTTCATTCAGTGCATTTTTTTTTTCAGGCAAAATTTATCTAGCATTGCCTTCTAGTTGTCAGACAGCTCTGGATGCATTTGACCACCTCAGGAGGGTACTGTATCATTTGCACTAGGTAAAACTTTGCTTTTTCTGGCCTGGGAATCTTTGTCAGAAGTCTCATGCCATATCTCACTTTGGTCTCAAAAGGTAGAGCCTCTGCTGTTAAACTGAGTTGGATACTACAACAGTTTTACCTTTTAAAAAGTGTATACCTACATATTTTCTTGTCTTTTAATAAAACTGATATTTTACCTGTCAGTAAGGAAGAACATAGGGAAAAAAAAATATTCTCTCCGTTTTTATTTGTTTGTCTTGTAAAAATTGAAATTACATTTTGGAAATTAAAAACGTAAGGTAGGTATACCTTCTGATTTCAGAATTGGTATATTGTAATTTCTCTAGTTTTTGCTAGTTTGTTAGAAAAGATCACACAAAGAAGCACTGTGGCACTCACGGTCGTATTAGTTTGTGCACTGACTACTTCAAGGAGACTGGTTGAAGTACTCAGGTTTTATACAGGACTCCAGTTGGTATCACTGACTGGACCTGTAAAACCATCAGGACATCCTTCTGCTCCCCAGGCCGATGATGCTGTGGAGGGCCACATGCACCTGCAGCATAATTTATGGTATCACTGGCTCTGCTCTAACTCAGGCTGGTTCGGGTTCGCAGTGGTTTGATAAATCCAGGATGCTGGCAATGCATAAAATTGTCTTGGTAACATGCCTGGGATTGCCTTCACTCAAGATGCTGGTGGAAGTAGTGGTACAAATCTAGCTATGTTGGCAAGGGAATTTACTAAGGATTAGACAAGACAGTTTAAGTATGTACTGGGCATCAGATTCTGACACTAAGCATGGATCTCCTTTAAAATTAGAGCCCATTTAATATGAGAATTTTGTTCTCCATTCTATGAATACATGCAAACTACACATGATAAATCCTCTAAACTAATCCTCTAACCTAATTTGGGATTGTGTGCTACATATTCTATCAGATGGTCCTTTTAATTAATTAAGAAAAAGAGAAAATCCTGTGCTGTTCTTTAAAGGTATCGAGGCTCCTGCAGCAGCTGAACTGTATAATTGTGCTGTGTGAGGTTGGGGATCTCAAAGACATGCAAATTCTGGAGAGCTCTTTCTGCACATTTATATAGCAATGACCATTCTTCTTGACGTGCGTCTTGGTAGAGATTGAGTAACAAAATTGTTTAAGAGTAGGTCTGAGAAGATACACTTCCAAGGGTAGTTTTTCTCTTCCCCTTTCCAGGGAAGAGAAGGAAATGCTGCCCTAGAATGAGGACAACTGATCCTTTTTTTTTTTTTTTTTTTTTTTTTTTCCTAATGGATTCAGTAAAAGATCAAGAATAATTCAAAATCTTAGCCTTCAAAAGGAAGGTACTAATTAGCAACGTTTCCAATTCTTCTGTAGTAGCAATTTATAATATTAAAAAAAGGAACCTTAAAAGAAAGGGTGTGGATAATAGCTGCTTCTGAAATTGATGTTGCTTGACTAGAGGGAATAAGTTACATTGATGCAGCTGGCTTGCAGCACATTAAAACTTCCATTTAGCCTTTCTGCAGCTGAGATATATGATCTCACAGCAATTAATCTACTGAAGATGCTCAGACTGGGTTGGTCTTGGAACCAGACCTTCATTACAAATGTTCAGAGTTTATTAATGACGGATTATTATTTTCATATATACATGCAGAACAGCCTACCCTAATAGAATAAAGGGTCAGCTCATATTGGATTTGTTTCTGTTTGTGCCCTTTTTATTTTTCTTCAGTAAAAGTAAAAAAGCAACACCCAAAAAGCCTTTGTTCTGTGTAAGATGAACTAGCAATAAACTTTAGTATTCCCTGTTGCAGGGCATGATGAAAGAAATGCTATTCACATACTTTGTAAGGAATGCAAAATATGTCGGCAATATTAAAGTTTTCTTTAATTATGAATTTGGTAGGTAATTGGGAACCTAAAATAATTGTGACTCAGAAAACCATGGGAAAAGAATTCTGATGGATATGAAAAAGCAATTTCAGAATATTCATACCTATTTATATATATGTGTATATATATACTATATATATAGTATACTAGTGACAGAAATGAAAGCAAGAAAAGCGTTGTTTTGGTCTGATAGAGGGGTTCTCTACTTAATCCAAGTTATTCTGTACAGTTATTTGCTATTATGTTGTGTAGTTGGGGAAAAAAAAAAACAAACTGTCATTTATAAGTCCTTCTTACCTATTTCAACTAGTTTCAGTCTTCTCTCCAACATACATGTATTGTAGAAATGTTCTCAATGATTATTAACATTACAAAATGAAACGTCCAAAAGTTAGCAAATGTAGGTATGTAGGATATTTCTGCTTTTTAAAATCCTCATCGGTATGCAGGATATTTCCCATTGCCCTGTTTAGTTACAAGAACAAACAATACCAGCCAACCAGTCCCCTTTCACACCTTCTCTGCATGCCCATGTTTCACAAGCCAAAGCACTTCACGAGTGCTTCTGTCTTCCTCCTCAACCAACTCAGGCCTTTAGCAAGTTCCTCGGTTTTCTCCACCTTCAGCATGCCGTTGGAGAATGTCGCTTTTACACGTACGTGCACACCAAGTGGTGCCCTGATGAGTGAACGGTGGTCAGTGGCAGCACGATACTTGGTAGGAGGAAAACAGAAGGTAAAGCACACTGCGCTGTGCAGCTGGGAGTTGTAATAGGATGCAACGTTGATGCTCAAACCTCAATAGTGGCCAAAAAGAAGTTACACAAAGCCAAATTTCAGTTGTGTATTCTGTTTGACACATATCCTTTGTTTCACAGCACTGCTGTTGCTGAACATGAAGCTCAGCAATTTGTGTGCATCTTGGTGCTACCTGTAAAGACACTTTTCCTGGGTGTTTATTGATTTCAGAATGGTCACAATTAGCAAATAAGTTACTACAGACAGCATACTAAGCACGGGCTTGGACTTTTGCTATTGTTTTGTTTTATGAGCAAGGCTTAGGTCACACAGTTTAAGTATTGCTGTGGTTTCTGTAACTATTGGAAGTTTGTTATTGGAAGGTGTTACTGAAAGCTCAGTGACAGGGCTCCCTTCTTTAAAATACCGAGCTCTGGACAGTTCTGAAGCGCTTTTCCTGCACCACCTGAGTTGCTTAGTCCCTGCATTCATAAGGGGCAGTTCCACAAATGCCCTGTGCAGTGTTAATATCAGCCCTCTGCCTTGGGCTAGCACATTCAAGGACCGTGCTGTGCATCATGCCATGCTGTCTTATGGTCAGAAGTGCCTGGTAAAGCCAGAGTCATCTGCAGTTTAGTGTCGGGAAGGCATGGCTTTCATCGTGTGGCCCCACATTCAGCTTGAGCTGGCTGCAGTAAGACTTGTTTTCTTTTTTTTTTTTTTTTCTTTTTTAACAGGGAATCCTATTTAGTGACTGAACAGATCAATCTGTGTGAGTAGGCATTTCTTCATGTCTTGTGCCACATGCAGATGTAAATATGAATGACTGTGTATTTAATCCATTGGTGAAATAATATACCAGTCTAAGTGCCAACCCCAGAGGAACACCATGAAAAACTTCAGTTATTATTCCCCACTGAATACTGTTCAAAATCTGTCAGATAGATAACTCATTTTTTAATCTGTTAAACACACATTAAATAGTTCTATACTGTATTAATCATCAAAATGTAATATATAAAGATCCATACAAGTTCATAAATTTATCACCATATTTACCAGGATATGAAATGATGCTTCTTCAGGAAAACTGATCTAAAAATTACATTTTGCCAAATATTCATCTCTGCTGTCATATTTAGATGAAGATATTACAAATGTACCTAATTTATCAACAAAATGTAAAGACCTGTTTGAAAATACAGACTATTTAACAGAATTTGTCCTGCAGGCGAGCAAGGAGCCTTGTGCAGAACAGATGAAACGGTAAAGCTGCAGAGCTTCAGTAACACTTTCTGCACAGGCATCTGTGAACCAGGTGTTGGAGAGCATGTTCAGATTTCAGCCAAAAATAATCAGAAATATTAAAAAAAAAAACAAAAAAAAAACTATCTGCCTAACTCTGATGCTAATAAACACTATAAGGTAAATCTTATTTATTGGTTGTTAACAACACCAGGTATTATTAGAGGCTGCTGGCACAAGGCAAGCAAAGAGAAAGAAGTAGAAGCAGTGCAAAACCACTGCACTCAGGTCCTGTTAAGAAAGTATTATTTCAATACAGGTTTCATTAATCTTTCAGGAGAGCTATCTTATTGAAGCTGGAAAATTGTCATTAATCTTGAACGTAGGAGAAGTGAAAATAAAACAGTGGAAGACCAAACAGTCAGCTTATACAAATTGTTGAGAGTGCTGACACAGGGAAGTTTGCCCATTGTGGCTTGTCACTTGCACACAGCTGAAGTCTGATTAATCTAATTCTTGTCTTACCTAAATGAGCCTGTATACATTTGCTAAATGTCACCGTTTTTCATCAGAATCATGTAAAGAAGGCCGCGTTCTTGTTTAGCTGCCAGTACACCTAAATCACTTTGCTCTTGTACTTTAAAATAAGAAGTAGTGTCTCTTAATATAATTATCCATACACCAACTCATTTGTAACCAATGGTGCTTTTGAAAATCCAGGGAAGGCATAGATAATTTAAAAAATAAAAGCCAAGCTAATCTAAGGAGATCTATATTAAAAAAGAATAATCATAAAACTGCAGACTAAATATCTTATCTTGCTGATTTGCTGTTTTACCTCACTTGCCAATTTAGTCTTAAAACTTGGCATATTTCTCACTAATGCTCCCTCTCTTATTTTGTTGTGCTGTCTACCCCAACACGTGCATGTCTGCTGAAATTTTGCTCTGAGGACAAATACGATCTGGCAGTTTGAGGTGGTCAACCAATCATCACTTCTAGCTTTTCAAAGCACACCCTCTCTGTGTGGGGGACATGCTATCTGTAATGGCTCTTGAACTACTGAAGACTGAACTTCATATGGATACCATGTGGACTGATGATAACATATCTCCTCTATCAACCCCTTCTGATTTCAGGAGTGTTCATAGAACACGAAGAATTACTTGCTCCCTGATGGGCCTTTGCAAACTCCACACAAAAAAAAATCAGGGAGGGAACTGATAAGATTAAACAACGGGTACAGCTATCAAAGGCTCTAGCGTAGCTATATTTATAGGGAGTTCACCAACATGATTAAATTAATGTTTGGTTGTTTTGATTTTTTTGTTGTTGTTGTTGAGTGTATGTGATAAATCCAGAAAAATCTTTTCAAATGCATTTTGTGCCACATTTATACCAGGTTTATGACATGTTTATGACATGTTTTATTTCATATGGT